GTTTCAAAAGGCACCTATTCGGCGATGAAACATCGCATTTCTTGGACATGAAAAAACACATTCGTTCAACACGAAAAGACACCCATTAAAGGATGAAACAACACGTCCGTTGGGATGAAACAACACGTCCGTTGGGATGAAAAGATACGTCTGTTTGTCGACGAAAAGACACACATTTTCACTACCAAACTTCTTATTCATAACCAATAGATTGTCTACACAATTATATATATATATATATATATATATATATATATATATATATATATATATATATATAAATTCCAACAGGATAATGGGGTGACATGTTGAATAAGGTATGCAAGAAAGTGAGAGTACAAAATAGACAAATAAATATCCTGCCTTTAGGGAAAGATTGGATGTATAAAGAGAATCGTGAGAGATTCTAGAATATATAAAGTATCGAGAGAGGGAAAACTATTTTATGATGTGGATATTTTATCTTATAATAAAAGTGGGAAATTGATGGAGCAAGTGATTCAATCCATCAGTTTAGAAAAAATTCTTAAGTCAATAGATTTGGTTTGGTGGTGATCAATTGAGTAAGTTGTATTATGTTATGTGTTCAATTTCAGTTTGTATAAAAAAAAATTGTAATCACATCACTTCTACCATCCTTCTTTAAAATGCATTAACTTTGAATATAATTATTTCATAATATCGATCAATATGGAAAAAGTGGTTATATATATGTTATATTTAACCACTTTTTCCATATTGATCGATATTATGAAATAATTATATTCAAAGTTAATGCATTTTGAAGAAGGATGGTAGAAGTGATGTGATTACAATTTTTTTTTATACAAGCTGAAATTGAACACATAACATAATACAACTTACTCAATTGATCACCACCAAACCAAATCTATTGACTTCTCATATTAACTAGATTCGTATCATTTACACTTTTTGGCGAGAGTCATATCTCATCGGTTTTACCAAAAAAAAGTTTATCAATAGATTTCTTATCTTTACAAAATCTCTTATCTCGTATCTTTGTGGATTTTCCATTTGTAATGTTAAGCTATTTGTCTTATAAAAGCTTAAGATAATATTTCTTAAAGATAAATTAAAATGAAATCAACTTATTATAGAAATAAAGATAAAAATTGTGAACGATGTTATAAAGTATCAACTTTACTTTTAGAATTGTCAAGACTCTTTGAGCCACCTATGGACTAATCCAGAGTTTGGGTGCGAATCTAAGGATTACGGTATTTATGCACCTCCCCAGATGGTGTTGGTGAGATTCGAACCGAGGTCTCCCACCACTCAGTCCTCATACTACCAACTGAGTCACCACACTTGGATTATAATCGTTGATTTGATTTTAATTCAATAACCATAAAAGTGATTATAAATATAACTTCTATTTTTACTAAATATTTTAGATAAGGCTAGTTCTAACACAAATTAAGTCGTTGGTGCCTTGTAAATTGCTTTACCCATTTACATTCTTAGAGATGATTATATTTAGGGATATATTATGGGAAATACTTTTCTTTCTTATGTTGTAGGAAATGAGTTATCACATGTTGTAGAAATAAAATTATAAGTGGAACCCACAGATAAGAAGAAAGAGAAAAAAATGATAGGACCTATCTCTCTTTTGTATGTGTAGAAAAATTATTTATCTCATGTAAAATGAGATAAATATAACCCATATATTATTCTATGTATCTATTTTTTTTGCCTATATTTACTTATTACTTTCCAATACCATTAAATCAGAATTTCAATTATCTTTATTATCTCTTTTTACTATTGAAATTCTAATCTAATAGTGTTGAAGAGTGGTGGACAAAAATAAACAATAAAAGAGATAAATAGAATAAGGGTTCGCTTTTTCTGCCGTTACTGTGGATAAGTTATCTGCAGTAAGCTTAATACTACATTGTTTTGGAGTGGAAATCATGGTATTTTTGTAATTTTAATTTATTTCAGGGTTATTATAGTCTTTATAATTTAATTATTTAGTTTTTTAACCTCAAAATGATGTCGTTTTGAGAATAAATGCAGATAACTTATCGAGAGTAACTGCAAAAATATTATTATGATAGAATAAACTATCCCTTATATTTATAAACTTTTTGACGCTTAAGTTAATTTCAGATCGAGACCAATGCGAAGAATCCATTCAAATACCCTATAATTATAATGGTATTAAGTGGGAATAATCAATTGCTATAATGGTAGGATTGCTATAATGGTAGGATCATAGAGTATCTTCCCGATGATATCGACTAATTTGGTGGGATAATTGTTACTGTTTGTTCATGGAAAAATTCTGAGAAGGTGGAACAGGAATATTGGATCCAGGTGGTGATCTCAAATTCAATGTACAAACAAACAGATGTGAATACATATAAATTTTTTATTTTTTTATTTCATATTATTTCTTCTTTTTTATTTTCCAATAAAAAAGTGTTAAAAACATGTTGGATATCATAGTCCATAACCATATGTGAAACGTCTACACAGTAAAAAAAAATCCAAAAATTTGGTAAAATACAATACAATTTAGATAAAATAAAGTTATAAAAAACTATTTAACTATATAAGAGTCAATAAAAATATCGCATTATATTATAAAAAATAATAAAGATTATTATTGTTATCTAACATTCTTCTAATCAAATAAGCAATTACGTTGTTCACTAAAAAAAAGCAATTACATTGAAACTTGTACATACTAATTGGGAAAAAAATTTAATTGTAATTTAAATAATAAATTATAAAATTTATGTTATTTTTAATGGCCAAATTGATGCACAATCAATTGTATATTAAATTCGTGCACAACTGCTGGTTTTCGTGAGTTGTGCCTAAAACAGAGGTATTCATCCACCGATTTAAATCGATTCAAATCGCAGTGAGTCGGTGACCGAACCAAAAAATTGAAAATTGAATTAATCGAAAAACGAAAAAAAAATTGTAAAATTTAATTGTATTGGATCAATATTTGAATTGATTGGTAAAAACCGATTCAATCCAAACCGATCCAATGATTCCCCGACCTTACCATCTATTTACTCAGACCTTTCTTCAATTATAGCCCAAAAATCATATAGCAAATTTCTAAATCTAAGATCCATTAACCCATAATGTTGGAGAAAGTGAGTTGTGCTTGATCTATGTTATGTTTTTTTTGTAAGATGCATAATATATTTTTATTACATGGGTTATTGTTGTACAACAGCTCCTCTAAGGATGAAAATTTGGGTTACTTTCGTACTCATACAACTTTATTATAAATTTTTCGTTAAAGGTAAAAGATGGTAATTCAACTTTTTGTTGTACAATGCTTCTAGATTGCACAATAATCATCATACAAACTTTACAAAGTCGATACACCCAAAAGATATGTTATTTGCACAATAACCATCGTACAAATCTTATGTTTCTCAAAAAACCGAAAATCGATCCAATCCAAATTGAATAAAATTAGATTGGATCGGATCAGATTTGAAAAAAGAATCCAAACCGAATGGATGATTACATGATTAAACCTAAGAGATTAGATCAGATAATTTTTGCTTCCAAAACTGATCCAATCTAAACCGGAACACCCCTAGCCCAAACTGGTGTATAACTAGCTACAGAGATGCAATTTACGAGAACTTGTCATGTTAAAATTGTAAATGAGTTAAGCTAAGTCAAGCCTATTAAAAATATTTTGAACTTGGCTTGACTCAATTATAATTATAAAATATTTTTTTCCATACTCACGTATGTCCAAATGTTGAGACTATAAATGCATCAAATTCTGCATTCCTTCGTAAGAGAAAAAACAATCATAAAACTCATTCTGTCCACATATATTTTAAGATCAAATAATAAGTTTTGCAATTTCTTCTTAAATAATGATCCAGCTCATAAACTAGAGAATATGAGAAAAGAATATTTTAAGAAAAGTATGTAATATAGACTAATCTTTAAATTTTTTCAGTTACTACAGTTTGTAATATTAAAAAAAATAATAGTTGTTATGACCTTTATTAAAATAACCAAATAAACTTAATAAATAATTGAATCTCATCTCATGTCACTATCATTTCCATCTTCAATTTAGAACAAAGAGGTTAACAATTAATATCCACCGGCAACACCTAACATAAGAAAAAAAATTACCTATTAACATTACTACCTGATCTCATGCTACTCTAGGGAAACTTAACACTTACCCAAAGTTCATCAACACTTTCATATGAGCAATTTGATATAAAAAAATAAGGTTAATGATTTAGTGACATAAAAATATATTATTTATTATAATAATATATCGGGCTAGCTCACAGGCTTTCAAGCCAAGCCTCATTAAATTAGGCTTGGACTTATTTGCTAATTTTTTTTTATAAAGTTTGAATCCGCTCTATTTATTAAACAGAAAAATATTTCTGCAGTTAATGCAGATAAGTTATCTGCATTTACTTCCAAAACGACATCGTTTTGAGATTGAAAGATTAAAAAATTATATTATAAAGACTATAATAACTCTGAAATAAATTAAAATTATAAAAATACCATAATTTTTGTCGCAAAACGACATCGTATTGGACTTACTGCAGATAACTTATATGCAGATAACTTATCTGCAGTAATTACAGAAAAAACAAACCCTTTATTAAATAAGTTAGACCAAGTTAAACTTAAAATAAACTTAAGTCTTGGATCCTTGACAAACAGCTCGGGTCATTTACTCTCATGCCCTAATCAGATGGCGGTTGCGCCCAAATTTACATATCAATTTGAACACATTCGTTGTATTAGTTGGGTAAAATATTTAAAAACTACAATGTTAATGTAGTTTATTGCTATTTTTAAAATTTTTTATCCTACTACTTTGTGTGTGGCAATTACATTTTAGTTTAATATACAACAGCAAATATATGATCTATAATATCGCAGAATAAAAAGTACAAGTACTTGTACTCACGTTCTTGCTTACCATAAAAACAACATAACAATCGGATCTTTTTAAATGCTTGTGTATGGTTGTCACGTTTCCCGAGCAAGCAAGCAAGCAACGACGTCTTTACACACAACCAAATAGCCAAACACACACACGCACTCTTGAGCGGAACGCCGCCGAATTTAATCGAAACCTTGTTGAGTTCCACTTAAACTGTTTAAACTGTTGTCAGATTTTTGTTCCAAACGGAATCGTAAACGCCACGCATCGATTTCGTGTTGGTTGAAAGAAGAAGATGATGGCTTCGAAGGTGCCCAAGTTGGGGTCCTTTCGTTACAGTTTCGCAGAGAAGAAGGAGAGGTTGTTGTCCATGAAGGGCGGCGGTGGCGGTTATTCCATAATAGGGATTCTGCCGGAATCCGAGGAGGAGGAGGAGGACTTGAGGAGGGGGAGGCGGTGTTGCTCGTACCGCGCTTTCTCCGATGTGATCGTGAATGGGTGGAAGGGGGTGAAGCGCGTGGCGGCGAACGCGTGGGAGATGGGTCGGTCTGATCCGAGGAAGATAATATTCTCCGCGAAAATGGGGCTTGCTCTGATCCTTATTTCGTTATTGATTTTCCTCAAAGAACCCTTCAAAGATGTCAGTCGATACTCTGTTTGGGCCATTCTCACTGTCGTTGTCGTTTTCGAATTCAGCATAGGTAACAACTAACAACCTTGTTGTTTGTTATTGTGGTTTTTTTTTTTTTTTTTTTTTTTTTTATAGCACAGTAACCACTTATTTTAGTCCTTTCATTTCGAAAAGTAATATCAAAATTTGTTTTTTTGAACAACTTCATTGCAACATTTAATTGATGTTACTTTTTGTTATTGAAAACTAGATTAATATCAATTTTTTTTATAATTAATTAACTCAATTATGTCAAATTTTTTTTCTTTGCACCAAATTAATGTCATCTTATCATTGATGGATCAACTAGTGTGTACTGTTATTTTTTTCTCATTTGGGTTTTTTTTTTTGGTATACACACCCTTATTACCTTTTGGTATCTAGAAACTTCCAACTCTTTGAGCTTAATTTGAGTTTAAGGTTTTTTGTCCCACCCAAAGATGTTTTTGGTGGGAATTTAAACCAGGTTGTCTTCCAGCCTCTCATTTGGGGTTTGAATTCCTATCCTCACGTGAAGTTGATTAGAATATGCATGGATTAGTGCATAAAGGCCACTCCTTTTTAATGGATATAGTAGATAAGTACAGTACTTTAATGGGGTCATGGGGAGCAACTGGAAGAAAATTGATTAAAATATGTGACCATGGTTACAGTGATTAGTTTCTGGGAAGGACAATTAAAGAACAAAATATTTAATATACAGGGATAATCATTTTTAATTAAAAATGACTTTTCTTATTTTAATTAGAGCAAAAAAAACCTATCTAATATTCCCTACCTGCTTTGTGAAATTGTGATGAATGAAACCAAAGATTATAAATTTGTCTGCTGAGTGTTCCAAAGCCACTGCTTATTTATGTCAATTGTGTTCTTATACTTCGTATTTTAGTGAATTCAATATTTTGTAAATTCCAAGTTTCAAGCTTTCCATTGGGTGGACACTGGCATAAATATGTATCAAACTTTCACTTACAAGTAATGATTGGTCACAAAATGCACTCTTGCAGGGGCAACTCTTAGCAAAGGGCTTAACAGAGGATTGGGGACATTGTCAGCTGGAGGACTTGCTTTAGGAATGGCAGAGTTATCAAAATTGGCTGGAGATCAATGGGAAGAAATAGTAATAATATTTAGCATCTTCACTGTAGGTCTGATTTTCAAACCGCTTCCTTTCTTATCTTGTTGATCAAGATTTTTATTTTTGTTTTGTTTTGTTTTGGTTTTGCTTATGCCATGTTTTCTGATGGTATGATGTGTGATTGGTAGGATTTTGTGCCACATATGCAAAACTATATCCAACAATGAAGGCTTATGAATATGGTTTCCGTGTGTTCTTGATCACCTATTGCTACATTATTGTATCTGGATATAGAACAGGAGAATTTATTCACACAGCTGTAAATAGATTTGTTCTCATTGCGCTTGGTGCTGCTGTGTCTGTGGGGGTAAATGTATGCATATATCCAATCTGGGCTGGTGAAGATCTTCATAATCTTGTGGCAAAAAATTTCATGGGCGTTGCAACATCAGTGGAAGGTTGTCTACAATATTTTCTTGATTATCACATTTATTTTGTAATTAACTAACTACTACTGTTTAGTTTTGCTGCTTCATAATCTTACTTCCTGGGTTTGAATAACTTTGTTGAGCTTTTTTTTCAGGTGTTGTCAATAGCTACCTAAATTGTATTGAATATGAGAGGGTGCCTTCAAAAATTCTAACTTACCAAGCTTCTGATGATGTGGTTTATAGTGGCTACAGATCAGCTGTTGAATCGACAAGCACAGAGGATGCATTGGTAATATCTACTTTAGTTTTCTGTCTGTTTCATAAAAGAATATTGATCATCTTTCTGACTCATCGTTACATGCTACTGATTGAAGATGGGTTTTGCTGTCTGGGAGCCACCTCATGGTCGTTACAAAATGCTTAGATATCCATGGAATAATTATGTGAAAGTAAGTGGGGCACTAAGGCATTGTGCATTTATGGTCATGGCTATGCATGGATGTATACTTTCTGAAATACAGGTACTGCTTCTTATCTGGCAACATTTGGAGTCTTCACTTGAAATTTTTGTGTTTTTTTCTTCTTTTTTTTTGTGTTTTTTTTTTTTTTATGGTGGGTAGTATTTGGGATTTACTTTTTCTTCAAGGTCTCAGGAAACTGGCTTGTGTTACAGATCTTGTGATGGTCTGTCATTTAAATTTTGTTTTAATTCTTGATTTATTTCCCTTCATGTTTTTTCTTTCGCTGTAACATTTGGTTCTATTGAGTGATTTAAATTTAAATCACTTAAATATTTAGAGAAGAGGTAATTTTCAAGGGGAAACCATAGATATACTGAAATAATGATAATTTATTGAATTATGTTGCCAGAAATGACTCTGGGTTCAATTATTGTGTTTGGTGCTAGGAATGTAAGAGGTAAACTAAGACCACCAAATTTAGCCATTTGGCTTTATAGAAAAAGGGATAAGATATTATGCCTACCTCTTTTCATCCTACTTTACTTACTCTTCTTCAACGCTGTTAGATCACAATCTTAAGAGGAGAGAAAAAGGAAGAAAGTCATTGAGATTGTGATCCAGCAGTATTGAAGAGAAGTAGATAAAGTAGGCATTGAAAAAGGTAGGCATAATATTCTATCCCATAGAAAAATGCCTAACAATTGTAAACCTCACGCTTGGGATAAACTACTCTGCCATGCTGAAATTTAGGCTTTGTTTGATTTCTGTTTTGGAAAACAGTTTTTTAGTTTTCAGAACAAAAAAACAAAAAAACTCGTTTGGTAAGACCTGTTTTGTAAAAAATGTTTTGAAAACTATAACTGTTTTTTTGTTTTTAAAATCAAATTTAGAGAACATGTTTCCATAACTATTTTACAAAACTACTTTGGTTTTTAACTTTCAAAAAGAAAAAAATATAGAAAACAACTGTTTCCATAACTATTTTACAAAACAGTTTTAAGAACAAAAAAATCAAAACACAATCAAAGAGGCCCTTAGCTTCACCTTTTGTAATCCACTATTAAGCCCTTTGGTCCCAAACTCCAGAATACTAATATTGCTTCTGCTCCTCTTCACCTTTTGTTATCCATTACTAATCCCTTCAGTCCCAAACTCACGAATATTTTTATAGTGCTAAATTAGAGATGCTGTGGGAATGTTAAAATGTTAAAGGTTTCCTGTATATGACTGTGATCTAGTAGTTTGTTCCTGGCTCTAAAAACTTTTTCTGTTATTTACGACATCAAGACATATAAAGTTGACCTTGTCAGTCCTTCATATTAGAAATACAGGTCCTTCTGTGCTGCCTCTTCTTATCCCAGTAGATTGAGGCTGGTCACTTCATGATACCAAATTGCCAATTCATTTTTTCGATTTGTTGTCAAACAATATGTCGTTATAATTCATGTCCATATATATTCTAGTTGCACCAATTGTTACTTCTACATGTGATGTTTTGTTTCCTTAATCATATGAAGAACACAGCTAGGTGGTACTCTCTACATCGCTTGGTTATACTTGAAATTTGAGTGGAACAATTCATCATTTGCATGCAGCAGTAACTTAGTGAAATAAGGTCCGCAATTGAAAAATTCTGATTCTGATGCATGGAAGTAAATTTTTTTTAAAGCATCCTTTACTCTCTGTATTTTATGAAGGTGTTTTTTTTTTTTTTTAGGTTAAATTGCTGTAAACTTTATTTTTTCATTTCTATTTTTTTGGTTGCTTTTTTCCTTATGTTTTTTTTAGTCTATGCAAGTACACATGTACTAAACTCCATTTTTGATAAATAGGCCCCACCTGAGAAGAGACAAGTTTTCTGTAGTGAGCTTCAGAAGGTAGGTTCTAAAGCAGCAAAAGTTCTAAGGGAACTTGGAAACAAAGTTAAAAAGATGGAGAAACTAGACAAGGAAGACATTCTGTTTGAAGTACACGAGGCAGCAGAAGAATTGCAACTAAAGATTGATAAAAAATCTTTCCTTCTTGTAAATTCAGAGGGCTGGGAAATTGGTAACAGGCCAAGAGAGGATGTTGAACTTAGTGATGAAAGACATTTTTTGGAGTACAAGTCTCTTAGTGAAGCTGTGCTTGATCTCAGAGGACTAAAAGTTCCAAAAAATTGGGAAGCACACCTTGCTCCTGAAATTAACCCTGCAGTTCCTACAGATGAAAACATGTTTAGGAAACAGACATCTTGGCCTGCTCATGTTTCCTTCAAAGCAGATGCAGTGTCAAAAGAGGAAGAATCAAAAGCATATGAAAGTGCTAGCTCACTATCTCTAGCAACATTTACATCCCTTTTGATTGAATTTGTGGCAAGGCTCCAGAACCTTGTGGATTCTTTTGAAGAATTAGGTGAGAAAGCAAACTTTAAGGACCCTCTTCAGCAGCAAGCACCAGTAACATCTGGTGGGTGTTGGACAAGGTTGTTTAATTGTTTCAAATTCAAGGATTGAGATATGTTCTTACACCTGGCTACAAAGGATCATGGAACAGTGCTAAATGCCCTTTCCCAAAATCACAACATGCATTGCTGACTCTAACCTCCTAACCTCATTGAGTTGTTAAGCATTGTTATTTGGGTTGCCATTTTGGGACACTGGAATTAGTGGCATCCTTTTTATCAAGTTCAAAATTATAGATGACATGAATGAATCTAACTGAAAAAACCTTTCCTATCAATATTAATCAAATTATCACGAACCTGCAGCTCTTCTTGTGAATGAGTGTGTGCTTCTCAATTTTCTTAAAATCTATTTTTCTGTTTGCTTAGCTATAACAAAAAATAATAGAATATTCATTACAAATTATATGTGGGCGTTGTTATATCATTAAACATAGTTTAAATCAAAGTATGTGTTGCCTAATTTAGATACTTTCAAAACTATTTGAAATGCACTCAGGAATAATATAAATCCGTTAATGATGAAAAAGTGCACAATTTTTTCATGACCACTCTAACAAACTCCCATTATTCCCTGTTCTACACTTTTTTTTCATATCAATATTGAATGCTAAACTTAAAACATTTTTTATTTGTTAACTTGTGAACTATAAATAATTTATTTGAAATAATTCCAAATTAAAGGTGAATTTTGGGTAGCCTTAAGATTATTTCTCGCAATTGGAAAGTGACTAGTTCGTTTTTAGGAATCAATTTCTTTGTGAAAAAATACAATAGTATGGCAGCTGTTTTTGCGCAGGCTGAGTCTGTTGGACCTAATGACAAAGCTCATATCTAGAACCTTCTAGAAGATATCACATATGATTCTTTTTTTCCTTAGTATTGCTACCCTAGTACATAGATAAGGGTTCAGCATGCCTAGTCTGAAAAAGCTAGACTGGCTAGCCTCCCTAAATACCTCCCTCACAGATTGAAGGAATATCTTCTTCACTCTCATGTTGTTACTCCACCTCGATAGAGAGTCATTCTAGTCACTCACACACGCCCCCCTTTTTATATGCAACACCAAGAGAAGCTCCATTATTGTCTTGATTTCTACCATTATCACCATAAACACCCTTGTATCAACATATTTCACTCTCAAAGAATAATTTGTGAACCACCACTGGTTCAGCAGTATATAATCAATTTTCATATGTATCTTTACAAGTCAAGAAAAATTTTGTATTACGACATTTGCCTATTTAATTATAAACTAATTAAAGTATTTTGAATCATATTCATTATCTTCCCTTAGTATGTCGGAGGAAATTTACTTTAGATTGTTTAATATACAATCTTCACGTTTAAAAATATTTAGTCAAAATGATGTTGCAAGAATGGATAAATTAAATAAATTTTTAGCCAATAAAATAATTTTTGAGGATTAAATTTTTTTAAAAAAATCTAAAATATATAAAAACAGAAGAAACTAGGAAGTTATAACCCGTATTTGTTTTGAATCGGGCACAATCATTTCGGGTCAAGCTTGATTTTGAAAAATTTCGGCCAATGATGAACAAGACAAAGCAAACAAAGAAGTTTCACACCCTCGAGAATGGTGAAATTCCAGCGAAAATTATAAAACCCGTTTTCTCTCTATCCAAACAGCAGGCAGATCCGATTTGCTACGTTCTCATTCCACTCCATCCATCATTCAGGTGCAACATTTCTCCTTCCCTCTCTCTCTCTCTCTCTGTTAATTTTTTCAGTTTTGCGGTTTTTTTCTGCTGCTTCTTTTTCACAAACGCGAATTTCTCTGAATTTCTTGCTGAATTATGGTCCATTGCTTCAGATCAAAAAGCAGATTGTAGATTTCGAGGATTTTGTTTTCTTTTGTCCTTTTGCGTTTGAAATTGAGCGAATCATAGATTTTGAGATCTGGTGAGATAAAAATGGCTATGGTGGATCAACCTCTGTATCCGATTGCGGTTTTGATCGACGAGTTGAAGAACGAGGACATTCACCTGAGGCTGAACTCGATCCGCAGGCTTTCAACGATCGCGCGTGCGTTAGGTGAGGAGAGGACCAGGAAGGAGCTGATTCCTTTTCTCTCCGAGAACAACGACGATGACGATGAGGTTCTGCTCGCAATGGCAGAGGAATTAGGAGTGTTTATTCCATACGTTGGAGGTGTGGAGCATGCAAATATGCTTCTTCCACCCTTGGAAACTCTCTGCACCGTTGAGGAAACTTGTGTCAGGGACAAATCAGTTGAGTCACTGTGTAGAATTGGAGCTCAGATGAGAGAACAAGACTTGGTTGAACACTTCATTCCTTTAGTTAAGGTAGTACATAGTTGCATTACATTTTGTTCCTCATGTTATTATAAACCTTGCCAAGACCCCAATTGATGTTGATGTAATTATATGCCTGAGTGTGGTTAGTTAGAATGGCATTGCATTCACCATTTTGCTTGTTATGATGTCCAACTTGTAGAGGCTTGCTGCTGGTGAGTGGTTCACGGCTCGGGTTTCCTCGTGCGGCTTGTTCCATATTGCTTACCCTAGTGCACCAGAGGCGTTGAAGACTGAACTTAGAGCCATATATGGTCAACTGTGTCAAGATGATATGCCCATGGTTAGGAGATCTGCTGCCACGAACCTGGGAAAGTTTGCTGCAACTGTTGAAGCAGCTCACGTGAAAACCGACATCATGTCTGTATTTGAAGATCTCACACAGGATGGTATGTGAAGTTGGTTAATTCCAGCACCTCATCATGTATCTATTTGATAAAAGTTGGGAAAACATAATGATAAACACAACAGTTTTAGTATTTCTAATTATATTCAGTTCAATAGTTTTGTTTGTTAGATAAGGTGATGAGCCCGATAGATAGCTGCAATTCTATGGCTGTGAATGATATTTTGAAAACAATCTGTTTCCTCTAAAGCTTTATGAGAATCAGATAATGAGATTTTATGTTTGACATTTTGACTGTGATCACTTCATGTGGGTTGGGAATTAAATCTATTTTAGTTCAGAAGATCAACAAGAAGGAAACCAAAAAACAAAAAGAAGATTGGAATCTCATTAAGACATTATCAACTAGGTCTTGCGTGATGTGAATCTGAACGTATATCATCAAAGTAAAGCCCTAAAATACAAAAAAATAAAAAATAAATAAAATTCAATTATCAGCATCAAATAGCCTTCAGCTGTTCATATTTAATTTCTGTTCATCTTAGTTTCCTCAACAAAGATCATGGGTTCGAGTCTAGAAAACAGCCTCTTTGCAAAAATACAAGGATAAGGCCGCGTACAATTGACCCTCACCCCTACCCTCGCAAGTCGGAGAGCCTTGTACACCGGGGTTTTCCCTTTTTAGTTTCCTCAACAACACACTTTTAGAGGCTGGCTTTTCCTTTATGCAGACTTTACCAGATAAACTGACTTTGTTATTGATCTTTCTGATAAAGGAAACAGTGTGCATGTATTTAACTCTGAGAGGCCAGAGCATTGGAACTTTAGGCAGATCAAGGAAATTCTCAATTGGACATTCACATACCAAATAATCTATGAACAAAGCAAAGCATTTTTGTTGCTTATAATCTCATTAAAAGAATTGGCATTCAGACTATTTTTGTTTATGTTTAATATTTTTTAAGACGATGCAGCTTCAAACCTTGATATTGTTGGTGGTTTAGATTAGACTTTCAGGTCGCCTTTGTTCTTGACATTTATTCTTTTCCTTGATAGAAACTGAAAGCATTGTCAGTATACTTGACTGACCATTGTGATAAATGAATACAGTTTGAATGTGTCATGATCATCTATTGAGTAGTATTATTATACTCTGTTTTTTAACATGATCTGCTAGATGTATATATATTAACTAATAAATTCTTGACCCTTGTTCTTGCAGATCAAGATTCTGTTCGGCTACTTGCTGTTGAGGGTTGTGCTGCTCTTGGAAAATTATTGGAGCCTCAAGATTGTGTTTCTCATATTCTTCCTGTCATAGTCAATTTTTCCCAGGTATATTGACCATTAATAATATTAAATGGGTCTAAATTTATTTTGTACCCTTTGGTTGATTTTCTGACATCTTATTTATCAAAAAATGGAAGAAAAAGACCACTTTTATCAATGATTGGCGAGGGAGAGAGCAGGAGAGAATTCTCCCTTTAAAGGTTTCCCCTTTTATGACTGAACAAATGCTCAGTTTTCATACTAAAAACTCAGAATGAAATCTTCTTCTACTTCCCTCTTACTATTTGAACTCACCACCTAACCAATTTGGTAACTAACTACAAATAGCCTAATTAATTCTCTAACTCTAACTGCTTTGCCTCCATGTCTTTCAATCTTGTGTCCTGGGTCCTATCATTTTGTAATATAGTTGAATTACTTTTTGTCCAGGATAAGTCATGGCGGGTTCGTTACATGGTTGCAAATCAACTATATGAGCTCTGTGAAGCTGTTGGTCCTGACCCGACCAGGTAGCCTTTCCTACCTGCTAAATGATTGGTTTTTTTTTTTTTTGTCATGATTTTCCTTCATGCTTCTCCACTGGTGCTATCTGAAAGTTGATCTTGATCAATAGACATTCTCCAGTTGGTTTAAAAGCTCTTATGCCTCATGATTGAATGTATAAAAGTTATAACTACATATTAATTCTGATATATGACATGGTTTAAAATGTATTTGTTTCCCATACTCTAATTGACTGTTTATAATGATGCTGATACATTTTTAGGTCGGAATTGGTTCCTGCATATGTTCGTCTGCTGCGTGATAATGAGGCTGAAGTACGTATTGCTGCTGCTGGGAAAGTGACCAAGTTTTCCCGTATATTAAATCCTGAGCTTGCCATTCAGCATATTCTACCATGTGTAAAGGTATGCATAACCTTTAAAAACAATTATATCTTACGGGTTACGTTATGATACTTATTCAGTTTTGATGTCTAAAGATGCTAAATTTTTTATGACTGATCAAGTTTGCATGCTATAGGAGTTATCATCAGATTCATCTCAACATGTTCGCTCTGCATTGGCTTCAGTTATAATGGGAATGGCACCAGTATTAGGGAAGGTATGAATCTCTATCTAAGAACATACTTTGTATCGCCATTAGCACATTTAAAAATGAATCTAGTCAAATGTTTGAGAAGGTAGAAAAATCATATGGCCTAGTTTATTATACGTATAAATGGTTTAGCATATAGAAAGTCTTTCCAAGTGTAGTGAATGGTGACTAGTGATAAAGTTGAAACCTATGGGATGGTTTAACTATATTTTGTTATGCTTTCTTTCTAGAGACAGATAGATGTATGTTAGGACCTGCTAATGCCCTCGCTAGCCTTAGAATTTCTACTAGACATTTAATTTTCCCTCACTGATCAATAGGTTGTACGAAAGATGTGAAAAAAATAAAAATTGTGTTTTACACATAGTTATCAAATGCGGATTGCAGCATGTCGCGGCCAACTCCAAAAAACGCTATAACGTTATAGCGGGTTGCGGTTGCGAAAATAGCAGAATAGATATATGACAGAAATAATGACAAAAAGAAACATTTTTTAAAGGCAGAGATAGCAGAAGTGACAGAGAGAAATGCGGATAGACTAAAAAACCTTTAAATTTTTTCTGTTACGCATTTAAATTTAGGATAAAATTGACATTTTGCCTTATGACAGCAATATGGCCGCAAATGCGATCGCAATGGTTGCTATTGCGTTCCGGTGCGGTGCGACGCGGTTTCTTGCAGCGAGGCACCGCAATGCTCATACGGTGCAGCTCGCGGCGCTATTGCGGCACAATTAACTACTATGATTTTACATGTTAACTACAGAGATAAATACCTATACGTATTGTTTTGAAGTACCCAAAACCGTAGAGACCTCCCTACTCTTCTCTGTATTTTGCTTTTGGTATATGGAGAGTCATGGTCATAAGATAAATCTATGACCTTGATCCTTCACTACTCATTTCAATCACTTGATCTTTGCCTAGATGACTCTATTTTATATACCTTTTTATCTCACACAATCATATTTTGATGAAAACTAATTTTGGTGAATAAGAAGTTAGCCTTGTTTTAAAAAATGTACAAATTAGTTAAAAATCACAGTTTATTATTGTATGCTTTTATCTTTAATTTCATTCCTCTTTCCATCAAAAGGTGACAATTATATTTCTAATCGGATGCCTCATTCTTGACATGTTTTCTTTTTCTTGTAAGTCAGAGATCTAAAGAAAACGAGAGAAAAGAGAGAGAGAAAAAGAAGAGAGAGAAATTGTATATTTCATATATTTGTTATCTGAATGTGAACAGTACATATGAGAGCTTTTATATAGAAAGAAGATACAACCACATCATCCTATTCTATTGTAACTATATACAGTTCAGCTGATATTCTAATGAAACTAAGCTACTTGGCTATTTACAGAAATATCCCTATATTTATACACTAATATGCCCCCGCAAACTCAGGGTGGATGGAAATGAGAATGAGAATCCACCACCATGAGTTTGTCTCGCAAAACAGCAAAGCGTGAGGCTGAGAGACTTTTGGTGAGTGTCAGCAACTTGATCCAAGGCTGGAATGTGACAGACTTGTATGTCTTTTGCAATGACATGCTCTCTGACGAAGAAGATATCTAACTCCATATGCTTCGTACGGGCATGCAGAATAGGATTATGAGACAAAGATACAGTGCTCAAGTTATCACAGAGAATGAGGAGAGGACTGAACTGAACTTGAAGCTCAATTAGAAGAGATTTGAGCCAAAGAACTTCAGCTGTAGCCAGAGCAAGATTGCAATATTCTGCTTCAGTGCTAGAACGAGCCACCAAATTCTGTTTCTTAGACCACTAGGAGACTAGGTTGGAGCCAAAGAACACACAGGCTCCAGAAGTATACTGACGATCATCCGGATCACTATCCCAATCCGCATCACAAAAGGCTGTGATAGAAAAGAGATGACTGGGATTGCAGGGTTGCATCAACATTCCATGATGCAGAATGCCATTAAGATACCGTAGGATTCTTTTTACAGCAGCCCAATGTTCTTCAAGTGGCTGAGCCATGAATTGGCAGGCTTTATTAATTGCAAACTGATCTCAGTTCTAGTGAGAGTAGCATATTGTAAAGCTCCCAGAATGGAGCGATAGAAGGAAGGATCTGAATAATAATTGGACCCAAATTTAGAGAGCTTGCAGACAGATTGAAGGGGAGTAGAGATGCCTTTTGCATCAGCCATATTTGCTTTGAGAAGTAAGTCCCTGATATATTTTGCTTGAGAAAGAATCAGTGCACCAGAGGATGTTTTCTGAACTTCTATGCCAAGGAAGAAATCCAGCTCACCAAGATCTTTAAGAGCAAAGGAGATGTTCAGTTTCTGTATCAAAGACTGAATAAAAATTGAATCACTCCCAGTGATGATTATATTATCAACATACACTAGGAGAAAAACACATTGAGAAGACTTCCTGTAGATGAATAATGAAGGGTCACATCTGCTAGCCATAAACCCAAGATGCAGTAAGGATGTTTTGAGTTTATCAAACCAAGCCCTTGGTGCCTGTTTTAAGCAATAAAGTGCCTTATGCAACCTGCAAACAAGAGATTTGTTAAGTGACTCAAACCCAGAGGGCTATTGCATATAAACCTCCTCCTCAAGAGTGCCATTGAGAAAGGCATTATTAACATCTAGCTGTCTGAGTGTCCAGCCAAAAGAAATTGCAATAGTTAGAATAGTTTTGATAGTGATGGGCTTTACAACTGGAGAGAAAGTTTCAGAATAATCAAAGCCTGCTTGTTGATGGAAGCCTTTAGCCACCAATCTAGCTTTGTACCTATTAATAGAGCCATCTGCATTTTCTTTAACCCGAAAGACTCACTTGCAGCTAATAGCTGTCCTATTGGGAGGAAGAGAGACCAAAGACCAAGTGCAGTTTGCCTGAAGAGCATCAAACTCGGACTGCATAGCTAAAAGCCAATTAGGATTGGCCAAGGCCTGTTTGATTGTGCTGGGCTCGAGAGAAGTTAAAAGTATTTGAGGCATCTTAGCAGTTTTAGACCGAGTGGTGATAGAATGATTAGGTGAGGAAGGAAGAGGACCAGATGGAACATATTCAGACCCAGAAGTGATGTTAGAAGAAGAGGAAGAAGGAGGACTAAAAGAAATTGCAATAGGAGAACCTGGACTGATGGTGCCACCACTGCTAGAAGCTGATGAAATTGGACTTGAGCAAGATGATGTAGGTGCTGGGAGAGGAGAGTTGCATGTTGGTGTTGGTGTTGGTATAAATGAGGTGCTGTTTGGAGACCTTGAACTAGTTGAGTTGGAGCTACCACTGTTAGAAGTTGATTCAGAATGATAGAAGTCAGATGTACAAGTCACCAGAGGAATTAAGTTCGAAACAGATGGGGAAGGGTCAGACGCAGTAGTAGTATTCAAAGGAAACCAGGAAGGATAAGGGAATTTGGTTTCATTAAATAGTACATCCTTTGAGATAAAAAGTCTCCCAGAAGAATTAAGGCATTTGTAGCTTGTGACTTGGAGAATAACCAAGAAAAATGCATTCACTTCTTCGAAATTCCAGTTTATGATTGTTGTAGGGTCTTAGAAAGGGAAGCAGGCACAACCAAAAACTTTGAATGACTTGGAATCAGGGACTGTTTTGTGTAACTTTACAAAGGGAATTTCAAAGTGTAAGGCAACGGTGGGTAGGGAATTAATGAGGTAAACAACAGAGATAAAGGCATGATCCCAAAATTTGATGGGTAAGGATGCGTGAGCAAGGAGAGTGAGTCCAGTCTCAACAATATGCCTATGTTTCCTTTCTACCACACCATTCTGATGATGAGTGTGGGGACAAGCTATTCTATGCATTATACCAAGCTGTTTGAGAAGTTGATTGAAGGAACGAAACTCTCCCCCCCCCAGTCAGTTTGTAGAGCTTTTATAGTGGATTGAAAATGATTTGACACAAGTGCTTGGAATTGAGTAAAGATGGTTAAGGCTTCTGATTTCTGTTTTAAAGGATAAATCCAAGTGTAATGAGAGTGAGCATCTACAAATGATATATAATATGTAAAGCCCATTGTGGATTTAACAGGGGCTGGTCCCCAGAGATCACTAAAAACCAAATCAAAAGGTTTTGCATATACTTTGGTTGAAGGAGCTGAATGTAAACGATGAATTTTACCTAAACAGCAGGCAAAACATAATTCATCATTTGTTTTATTAAAAGTAGGAATATTACAAAGCTTTAGAACAGAGTTGAGGGTCTCAGTGTGAGGATGCCCCAATCGACAATGCCAAAGTGAGTACATATAGTTGAAACCTACAGCTTTTACAAAGCTCGAAGCAGTATTAGTTGTGCACTGTGTGATTACATCAGTGGGAACTGTATTAGGAAAATCTAGGCTACTACTAGGTGGTGGACTACATGAAGTAATGGTTGAAACATAAATGGAAGAATGTTGACTCGGTTGCTGACTTGAATTGGGAGAAAGTTGAACTCCTTGAAAGCAATATTGTCCATCTGGTCCTAAGACACCTTCCAATAGGACTTCATGAGATGCCTGAGATTTCACACAACAAGTAAGAGGGTGAAATTCAAAATAAACACCATTATCTCTAGCAAACTGACTCACACTGATCAGATTTTTAGTTATAGAAGGAACAAGAAGTAGATTGTTAAGATGCAAAGAGGTGTGTGGTTTAAGTGGAGAAGAGAATGAAGAACAACCCATAGCATTCACTTTCAAACCTTGGCCATTCCCTATGTAAACCTGATCAGCACCAGATAGTTGTGTGCTTTGCAACAGGTTCTGAGGATTGGCAGTTACATGATGGGATGCACCTGAATCTGGATACCACTCAATTTCTTGAATGTGCGAAGTAGTGGGGAGAAGACCTTGTCCTTGAGCTGGATTGGCAGTTAGCAATGCTTGAGGTTGATGAGTGGTTACCAAGGCTTGAGGTTGATGTGGAGCAGTAGATCTGATATATTGATATGGCCTCTGAAACGAAGATTGTGCTGATGGAAAATACTGAAGAGCTTTAGGAGCAGGGAGTTCAGGTACAAAGTTCTCATCAAATCTGTACCAGCAGCTCTGAACTCCATGACCAAATTTATAACAGAGCTGACATTGAACATTGCTACGTCCACGTCCTCTAGCTCCTCTGTTGTTTCGAGTATAGGGTCTACCTCTGCCTCTTCCATAATTTGGACCATACGACCTCTGGTTATATGCATTTTGATCCAGATTTGGTTGCACGATGTTAAGAGGAGATCTTACAGGTGCTAATTCAGATATGTTTGCTTCTTTTGTATCAGGAGAGGTCTTCTGCACAACATTCACAGTCATTGACTCAGAGAGAAGAGTTTCATTTTGTCGTGCACGCATCATTTCACGAGCCATCAGTTCAACTCGCAGATCATTGAGTGAATAAGGATTTTCACGTGCTCTGATAGAGGTGACAAAGGCATTGGACTCAGCAGGAAGGCCAGCTAGTATCAACTCAGTTTGTTCATCAACAGGAACTGCACTTTTGATCGCTTTCAGTTCGTCACAGAGAGACTTAATGCGTCTGAGGTACTCAGCTACATATCTCCCACCTTTTTTGATGGTACGAAGCTCAGATCTGAGCTGGTGAGCTTTAGACTTCATCATTCCTTCGAAAAACTTATGGATCTGCTCCCAAGCTTCATATGCATGGCTAACTCTGAGGATTTCGTTCAAGAATTCTTCTGAAATTGTGGAAAGGATCCATGAGAGAAGCATCTGATCTTGACGAAGCCATTCAGTGTACAGGTGATTGACGACTCCATCAACACGATCTTGCTCCGATTCAAACTGAAGTGGTATTTTAGGGTTAACAAGAAAGTGTTGAAGCTGATGAGAGGTGATTACAGGTTCTACAACCTGATTCCAGAGAAGAAAATTACTCTCTGTTAGTCTAACAGAAATTTGATGGCTGAATAGCGAAGGAGAAGACGAGCGATTCTCGGTCGAAGCATTTCCGATTGTGTTTCCGGTTACAGAAGGAGAAGGAGACGATGATGATAATTTCGAAGCGGAAGACATAGTAAGGCGCGATCAGTATCAGGCCCTCAAAGAGAGCTCTGATACCATCAAAGAGATCTGAAGAAAATGAGAGAAAAGAGAGAGAGAAAAAGAAGAGAGAGAAATTGTATATTGCATATATTTGTTATCTGAATGTGAACAGTACATGAGAGCTTTTATATAGAAAGAAGATACAGCCACGTCATCCTGTTCTATTGTAACTATATACAGTTCAGCTGATATTCTCATGAAACTAAGCTACTTGGCTATTTACAGAAATATCCCTATATTTATACACTAATAGTAAGACTTTTCTTGACTAATAGATTGCTTCGTATTTGTTTACACTATTATTATAGATATTAAAAAATATTTTTTGTATGCCTATGTATCATTCACCGTTTCTTGAAAGTGTTATAAACGTAAGATTGTATATTTGTTATCATCCACAAACATATCATGAGGTGAAATAGTCACACCAATATATGCTTTAGGCAGGGGTTTGGTTTATCTTCTCTCCTATATGTGAACCTGAACCTAAAATATCAGAAGTTAAGTGATTATTTGAAATTACAGAACTTTTTTCTGTGTCTATTAAAAAAGCTGATTGACAAATACTGCTACATGGGTCAAGACCCAAGCTGATAAATTCTATCATAAATGAGTGTAATATTTATTTGCATATTTCATGCCTTATTTAATGTTTGCTTGTTTGTGGAAGTGGGAATTTTTTGAATGAAATTTACTTCACACTTCCTCGGTACAACTTAAGTGTGGGACAGTTAAAAGTCAAATGCAATTTATTTGCACTTCACGTCTCCACTTCCCAAATTTTGGTCACTCCTATAGAATGATAGTCAGCTGATAATACTTGGTGGTGTTCTAATTACAAAGTGCCAATAAGTGAAAATCAGAACCTTTTCATCTCAGTAATCTCACTCTATTTTCAGACCCCTTCCTATTTTTGTTTTCACTTTTTCATTTTCCATCTCCTCAAACAAGCACACCCTTGTTTCTGTTTTCTCATACCTTATATTCCTGTATGAGCAACCTTTTCTTCTATTCCTTTAACTCTTGAAACTGTTCCCTTATAAATGTAATTCAACTCTTTTTAAAAAGGGGAGGTCATGTGTCTCTTCTTTCTTTTACTATATTTTGTGGTGGTTGCAGGATGCGACAATTGAGCAACTTCTGCCCATTTTCCTTTCTCTTCTGAAAGATGAATTTCCTGATGTCAGGCTAAATATTATCAGCAAGCTTGATCAAGTGAACCAGGTTTGTGGCTTAAAATTGAATATTCTTTCAGACTGGCAATGCACTTTTCGAAATTTATTATTTTTCATACATTCCCTTTATTGAAGCTTTGTAATGTACGTGCTGGTTGCAGGTTATTGGCATTGATCTATTATCTCAGTCTCTGTTACCAGCTATTGTTGAGCTTGCTGAGGATCGGCATTGGAGGGTTCGACTTGCAATCATAGAATATATACCCTTATTAGCAAGTCAGTTGGGTGTAGGTTTTTTCGATGATAAGCTTGGAGCTCTTTGCATGCAATGGCTAAAGGACAAGGTTTGTTAAGCACCTAAAATATGTTCTGATTAGTTCTACTCCTCTTATTTTTGAAGTCTATTTTATGGAAAATTATGATTTATTAAGAGACTTCCTTTATGCTAAAGCTGTTATGAACTTATGATTAATTGGAATCTAACGTATTCTCATTTTTTTGGATATCCCTGAAGTGAATAACATACTTGAAACTGATCATTTTCTGATGGAACCCAAAATATTCAACAGGAAAGATAACAACAATGGAACAGTAAAATACTTCCATTATCTCAGGACTCATGACAGAGACACTAACCACTAAACGTAAGAAAGAGATAACATGAAATACAAAGGAATAACAAGTAAAACACCAAAAGACCTCACTCACTCTCAAGCCAAATACCTAGGCCAAAGAGATCCCAAGAGATCCTTTCCAAAAGCCCCACTCCAAATATTCTAAATACATGCATAACAGAAACATCACCCTAAACTTCTATATATACTAATTCTAAAATACTAATGGGCTTGGATTATTTATTATAGGCCCATCATTTTCCAATGCTGAATCTTATTTTTTTGCTGTGGTATGTCATAGTAGTTGGTTTCTCTATGGTACTTATATCTGATATACATTTGAATATGTGACTCTTTGGCTAATCTCTCTCTCTCTCTCTCTCTCTCTCTCTCTCTCTCTTACGTGGTAAGGAAAAATAAGATAAGCTGGTGTTACGGATCTTAATTTTAGGGTGCTAAAAAGCCAATTTGAAACAAAATGTTAAACAGGGCAGTTATTTTCTGTTCAATATGCATTTTGCAATTTGGTTGGTGATTTAGGCTGTAAAAGAACTAAAAAGGAAAATAATAGTCTCAAAAGTGTAATATGAAGCTACAAGTCTTGTGTTTGATGAATGGGTTAAATAGAATCCTCCATTGACTAAGTCAGGCATAAAAAGTGTTTTAAAACTTTTCTAGTCAGGAAGCTTGCTATTCTGTTTTTTATTTTGTTATTTAGCGTATAGGCATCATATTGACTTCGTCAACTGTTTTGGTTATGGTTGCAGGTATATTCAATTCGTGATGCAGCCGCTAATAACATCAAACGCTTAGCAGAAGAATTTGGACCAGATTGGGCAATGCAGCACATTATTCCTCAGGTTTTTTTAGCAGATAAATTTAGTTTCTTGATGTACATCAGCAGTATATTTTTCTTTGAAACTATAGAAAAGGATTTTAATACCAGGGATATCATAGAACATCCTTTAAACCAATGCTTTGAAAATGTTGACTCAACTTGTAAGGCCTCTATAAACCCAATTTTTAGGAGGTCATGAAAAGAAATTTCAAGATCAATTCAATAATAATAATAATAATACCAAAAACGTATGGGTTTCTTGATGCATCTTGTAATTCTTAAATATTTAGGTATTGACATCTTTGGTGTTTTGTGGCGCCAGGATCTGAGGATTTTTGGGGGATTTCGGGTTTTTTTTCTGGTCTGTGCTGTGGGGATGTTTTGTGTGTGATTTGGGTGATGGGTTCTGAGTTTGTTTATGGTGGATGTCTATTGGGGCAAAGGTGAATTTGTTGCTTTGTTTGGTGTGTTGGAATTTCTCTGACTAGTGGCTCTACTTTTTAGATGATTGGGATGCAGTGTTTCCTGGATTTTGGTTCTCTGATTGTTGCAGTTTGGGGATGGTGATGAAGTGAAAGTGGGTGCAAAAGGATCTTCTGGTTTTCCTGTAAAAATTAAAAATAAAATATTGCTCTGCACAATAGCTACCTACCTAGTAGAAACAAAGAACAAGACCCAAAGTTCAAACACTTTCATTCATGTAGCAATGCACTAGAAACAAGGTAAAGAAGACATCAATTAGAGGAGCATAAATAAATTTACCTTCTTGAATCTCAAAGAAATAATGAGACTTCAAACTCATTCTTCCTCACTCACACTCTTTGTGCCTTATACCTCTGTTCTACTCTTTCTCACTTCACAGCTTCCAGACTTGAATGACCACACATAGACCTTCCAATGCATATGCACCAGGAACACCAATCAAAGCAACTTTAATTTGCTTCTATTTTCTCTTTGCTTGATACCTCCATCTTTTTATTCTATGTTCCCTTTTATTTCCTCTTCTGTTCAGTACTTTGGTCTTTTAACAAAGCTGCAGAAGTGTTTTGCCTTCTAGTTCTTGTTGCTGTGCTTTTGTAGCTTCCAACTTACACTTCTCCTTTTACGTCTTTGACTTTCCCAGCATATATCACTCTTGTTTTCTTTCTGTTAGTTGCTTTGTTTTGGCTTACATAAATGCCTTCCCTTTTTCCTTAAAATTGCTCTTGCAGCTTGCAACCCCTTTCCCACATTTCATTTCATTTCCTTTTTTGTTTTTTTGTTTTTGTTTTTTACTTGCTTTTTCTTTGAAAATTTTCAAAATCAGCATTGTTTTTCAGTTTTGGATTTTTGATTAATTTAATTTTTAGATTAGGCTAAAGTGGATTATGGGTTTAGACCTAGGTTGAGATGTCAATCCTTAAGAATAAAACTAAGAGAATAATGAAATGCATCAGGAAACCCAAACATTTATTTATTTTTTGTATTATTATTTTTTATTTGATTTTTGAAAAAAAATCGTGACCTGGGCAAAATTGGTTGTTCCAAGCCTGGTTTCATGCTTACAATGACTTTGTTGTCTGGGAGATAAGAAAAAAGAAGAAGTATAATGCTCCAATTGAACCTTGGAATTATAGCTTTGACTGTCAGAGGTTGAACAATTGTCACCTTAGCTGGGTAGTATAATCTCTTCTGTGACACATGGCTGATCCAATTGGTGATTTATGTTGGCTTTAGTATTGTTTATGTTATTTTAAAGAAATCACTATCTTTGGAACTCTGGTGCTTAAAGAAAAATTCGATCAACTTGAACAAACTGCTTTGACAAATTTTTGTTATATATTACAATAGACACTTTTCTTACTATTGTAAGGTTTTTCAAAATACGTCCTGAATGTTTATATTAATATGATCTGTGTGGTATTCAATATTCATCTAAAGAAGTATCTTACCTTTACAGGTTTTGGACATGATTAACGATCCACATTACCTGTATCGGATGACAATTCTACAAGCAATTTCTCTGCTAGCTCCCGTTCTGGGCTCAGAGATTACTTCTTCAAAACTGCTCCCTCTGGTCATAAATGCATCAAAAGACAGGTGAAACTGCTTAATCCTCACTCCTATTGTCTGTCTTTATTTGAACCCGTGCTCATAGCATGTCTTGCAGGGTACCCAATATCAAATTCAATGTAGCTAAGGTGTTGCAGTCTCTCATTCCAATTGTTGACGAGTCTGTAAGTAACTTCCATTTAAGGTTTCATCTTTAATACACTTCCCATAGTTGAGCTATAAAACTTGTATTTTGGAAATTATTTGGATGAGCTATATAATATTAATCTGGTCTAGAAATATTGGGATCCTCATTATTGTGGATTGGAAATCCTTTTATGCTACTTTGAATTGGTTGTTTGTTGAATTCTTTTCTCTATAAAGATTTTCAAACTTGGGACTTGCTGAACTAGCTTAGCCAAAACCAACTAGTTAAAAGCTAAGCTGGCTGTTTGGTTATAATATCAAAAACTTTGTCCCGATACTTTTCACTAGACTTTTGTTTGTTTTTAATAAACCTCGTGGCAATAGGGAATTATATGAAAAGCATTATTGTTTGATAGAAGATCGTTGGTCGCTGTCTGTCTGAATACAACATTCTTTTTATGTCTCATAAATAACTAAATGCCATTTGAACAATGAAGGTTGTTGAGAACTCGATCCGTCCCTGTCTGGTTGAGCTCAGTGAGGATCCAGATGTTGATGTGAGGTTTTTCGCCTCTCAAGCCATACAATCTAGTGATCAAGTCAAGATGTCCAGCTAGATCAATCTGCATATTGTCTAGTTATTTCTTACTAATTTTTTACGATTTCTTATGTAATTGGCGTCAAGCCAACTTTCTCAATCCTTTGTATCACATGTCATTGTGGAGATCCGTCTTTGCTTTGGTTCTATCTGATAAATGTACTACGTGGTTGTCCTTTGTAGTGATGCTAAATTGTCCACAAGTGGGATGAGTTTTTGACATATAATCACTAATTCTATGATTTACGTGATTAGCTTTGACATTCAATCATTAATTCCATGATTTAAGGGATGAGTTTTGACACAATCACTAATTCTATGATTTACCAATGTGAACAGTTTTTTTATTAATTTTTACAGAAAAATATTTCTGCAGTTAATGCAGGTAAGTTATCTGCATTTACTTCTACAATGACGTCGTTTTAGGATTGAAAGATTAAAAAATTATAATTATAAAGACTATAATAATCCTGAAATAAATAAAATTATAAAAATACCATGATTTTCGCTCCAAAACGACGTCGTATTGGGTTTACTGCAGATAATTTATCTCCAGAAAAAGCGAACCCTAATTTTTATTATATAATCTTCTCAAACGCTGTACATTGATAAACCTCGGATCTTGTTTGTGTCTAGACAATTTTATGCAAACAATCTTAAAAGAGTTACTAGGAAAATAAGGTGTGAACATGTTATCACATCTTGTTTGGATAGTGTACCTTGGGAAAAGAAAATAACTGACATGTATGTTAATGAAACAAAATAAAATGAATCAAGTGATACCAATTTTTTTAATTTAATTTACTTAATTAATTAATTAATTTTTTTTTCTTTTGCATCTTATAAGTTTGTTTGTGGTTTCCTATAGGATCATACTAAAATTATTTTGCATAAATTAATATGCAATTAATGATTGTACACTAGTTCCATTATGTTTCTTAAATGGCTGCTTACAGAGAAATTAGGGAGAGTTATTGCTGAAGACGACAACTAAGAGAATATTTAATTTTAAATATATAAAAACTTTAAATTATTAAAATGAATAGATAAAATTTAGATGCTTTTTTGTTGAGTAGTTATTTGTTTTAGGGAGTGGTTAACAATTTTTTTTTTAAAATGGTACTTTTGTCCATTAAATATAACAAATATTTTATAAATAATTTTTTTATATTAATTCTTAATATTTTATTTTTTTTTCCAAATTATTAAATATTACTTCTTAACCATTTTTAAAATTAGAATTATTCCGGCTACATATGTGATTATGCCAGATCTGCTTCCAAAATCAATGGTAACTAAGGATGTCTTTAGAATCATTAAAATATAGACAATCTTTGGTCGTCTCCTATTGACAAGGTAATTTAAAATTTACATCATCGTGACTATATATATATATATATATATATATATATATATATATATATATATATATATATATATATATATATATATATATTACACCAGTATAAGTTACACTCTTAATTTTGACTATTGATCCCATTTATATCTAAGGGCTCTAATTTTTTAGTAATGTAAACCATTAGATAGAAGTGAATCAATGATCAAGATTGAGTGCAAGATTGAGTGTAAGACTTACTATATTTGGGATAATTGGATGAGGTTAATGAAAAAAATCAGAAAATTGTAACACCTTTTTGAACATATTTTCTATTAAGGGGTTTGATTTTCTTATGTTAAATGAGAATTCAATTCTCATGTTATAGAGATAAAAAACATGTGAAACTCAAGTGTTAGAAAAAATTATATGTAAGACCCATATCAGCACGAAAATCAAAAAGTGTGTAGAAAAATTTGACTTCTCATGTTAAATGAAAATTATAAAACGCTTTCTATTATTAGGTAAATTTAACGGGAGTGCCATTTCACGTTTTTTCTTTGGGAACCATGAATTTAACCCAATAATAAAAAATATCAATAATTTAGAGTAAATATCTTTTTCGGTCCTCATCAAATTTCACGATACCCGCTTTAGTCTCTAGCAAATAAAAAAGCCATTCGTGGTCCCTATTCAAAATAAATCCATTTTAGTCCTTTTGAGAGACTAATGTGAGTCTTTTTTAAATTTGTAAGGGACCACGATTTTAACTAAATGAGTCCATTTTAAATTTTTTAAGGATCACGAATAGCCTTTTTATTTGCTAGAGACTAAAGTGGACATTGTAAAATTTGATCGAGGACCAAAAAGAGTATTTACTCGTTAATTTATTACAAGCCTGGCTAAAAAATAAGTACACGTCACAACAACTATAAAACTGGCATGTAAACAGCGAGAAGGCATTCGCTTCGCAAAGCTTGCTAATGGAGCATCTTAACGCGTCCACGTTAAAATGTCTGCGACCACATGTTACAATGTAAAAGAGGCATGTTTCCTAAAATCTATAGAAGGCAGTGATAAATTCGTTGATTCTGTAACATCATTGGGGAAAATGGCCAACCAATAAGGGGGGAAAATGGTCAGAAACTAATTAGATCTAACAGAAATTATCAGTGTTCAACTCTCCATGACGCTACTAGGAACATTCCTACCGTGCACAAGAACATTTTCCACTTCATTAAGGTTGGGTCTAGACAATTTTATGTTGGTAATAAGAGATTCAGCAGCACTACTACTTAAACCTTTCCTCCCAACCAAACTCACCCCAAAATTGCGGTTTAACATCCTCATCCTGTTCTCGTCCCCCTCCACCTGACCCAACTCAATGACCTGCTTCTTTGAAACTAAGGCATAAAGATAAAGACTACCAGAGTCCAAGACAGCTCCTCCAATTTTAACCCTTAGTAATGAGCTAGAATCAAGATCATTCAGCTTCGGATTAAACAAAGCAGAGAAGCTACCAAATGTCAGGTCAGGTTTCTCAAATAATTTGTTCACATCATCATTCTCCTGGGTGATATTTCTTGTTGTGTCAACAGGCATCAAAGTCCTTCTCCTTGCCACTCTCAAAATGTTTGCAGCCTCTCTCATTCCACTAAGAAATGCTCCGTGCATTGTTGCAGGATACTGTTTGCTAGTTGCCTCTCCAGCAAAGAACACTCTCCCATCTCCAACACACTCAGCAAGAATATCATAATCATCTCCCGAAGATCCAACAGCAACGTAAGAGTAAGATCCATATGCAAAGTAATCCTTTCCCCACCGAGTACAGACTGCCTGTACAGGATCCGGAACAACAATTCCCTTTGGATGAAAAATATCCCTTAGAATATCCAACACCCTTTTGACAGACTCAACCGGCGACATCATCTCAAACCTAATTGCAGCCTCCCCAGCAACAAGGGCAACCAGAAGCGGGCCTCCAGACACAGAAGAATAGCTATAGAACAGAAAAAACTCGCCCCTCATACTCAAATCCTCAGTCAAATGACCAAACGTATCAATGTTCCCACCCCAGAAATTATATGGAAATAGCATTGCAACCTTATTCAGCAACCCAAACCCCAACCTATGAATTGCATCTTTCTTTCTCTGAGGAAGTTCAGGTACAAATTCAATAGATCCCTTCTTAAGCACACCCAACGGCACGGTACAAAGCACCATATCCCCCCGGAACTCCTGCCCACCAGCGTAAACCATCACCCCATCAGTCCCGTACTTGATGCACTCCACAGTCCTCCCATAGAAAATGGGAAGGTCCTCCGCCAGGGCACGAACAAATATCTCATTCCCACCAGGAATAAAACAATGATCACCACCCATCTCATAAGGATCATCCTGATCCCAATAAGCCATTGATAAGTTAGACATCAGAGTAGCATTTGCATACTCCAAATTGGCAAGATGCCAATTCAACAGCATCCTCTCTTCCTTATCCTCAGCAACCTTATAAACCCGCCGGAAACCCTCCAGCGCGGTCCCTAACGGAACATCCACGGACTTAACCTCCTCAATCATGGCCTGCCTAAGCTTACAAACCCTCTCCAATAACTTATTAAAAGAAACCTCAACCCTAGAATCAATCTCAGAATCAACACATTTCCCATCAGGCATATACAGAGGGCAAATATCCCTAACCTTATGAAGTGGCAAACCCAATTGCCTTGCAAGAACCCCAAGAGGGTTCCCATTGATTCCAGTGAGGACACTTCCACCGAAATCCGCTGCAGCCTCAACACCACCACCCATCATCTTCTTCGTCTTGACCCGTCCACCGGGTCGGGTCCTACCCTCCAAGATCACAACTTTAAACCCTAAAAACACCAGTTGTCTAGCGGCAACCAAACCCGCAAGGCCAGCACCCACAACCACCACCGTTCCCCTTTCGCAACCATCGAAAGACTGCGACTTCGCTGCCTTGATCTCTGCCGCGAGCCCGAAATTGATGTACCCATGATCCAGGAGGAACCGGTAAGCCGATTCAACCAAACCCTTGTGCTCGGACCGGATGGACCGGAGGGCCTGGTCCCGGGTCAACCAGGCCGAAACGTTGGACCGCCACCGGGACAAGATGTGGTTGCGAACCACGATGTAGTTCGATTGTTCTGATCCTCCTATTGTGGACACCACACTCTCTTCGATCTCTTCCTCCGTCAGTGAATCCACCGGGAACCCAACAGAGATCGCGATTAGGGCTTCCACGTCGCAGTCTTTCGCCACCTCGTTGCGGCGGTTTTTGGCCAGCGACGCCGTCGTGTTGAGTTCGGTGAAGAATTTCTTCCGACGACGGCGTTTTCGAACTGGCGGGCCAGCCGGGTTCGGGTCGGGTTGGGCGGTGATAGGGTTTTGCTGTTCGGAGGAGTAGTCCGGTGAGTCCAAAACGGCGAGTTCTGGTGTCGTTTGGGTTGGGAGAGAGGACTCTTGGTCTTCCGAGGAGTTTTGGAGATCGAGGAGGATAGGGTTTTGAGGGGACAGTACGACGTCATTTTCCGGCGAAGCCGGTGACGGTGGTAGTGGTGGCTCCGCCGTCGCGTCCATAGGTTGTTGAATTGTTGGTGGGTTTATGTGACCATCATTATGCCAGCTCATGCTCCCTTTCACTTTCAAATCAATTTTTTTTTTCTCTGCTTTGTGTTTTTCGATAAAGGAGATAATTTGTTCTTTGCTGCCCAAAGTAAACTAGAAGTTTTTGTTTAAAATGATATAATTTTTATTGTTTTATTTTTAGAATAAATATTTTTTTCAGTTCTCAACAAATTTTACGATATCCGCGTTAGTCCATAGTAAATAAAAAGACTATTCGTGGTCAAAAAATTCAAAATGGACCCATTTTATTTCTTTTGAAGGACTAATGTGGGTCTTTTTTGAATTTGTGAGGAATCACGATTTCAATTAAATGGGCTCATTTTGAATTTTTTAGGGACCACGAATAGCCTTTTTATTTACTAGGGACTAAAGCAGACATCTTAAAATTTCTTAAGGACCAAAAATGATATCTACTCTTTTTTTATAAAAAGTGATTTTTTTTTTGTCTATCCTCTCTCTCTTATTATTTCTCTTTTTCTACTTAAAATAATAAACTTTACATTTTCTAGAATAACATATTTTTCCCTTTCCATTCTATTATAGTATCATTCTAGGGAAATAATTATCTCATGTTGCATGAGATAATTATCTCATGCAACAGAGATAAGATAATGAGGTCCACTATTTTTTCTTTTTTTTCTTTTTTCGAAAAAGTAGTGGACCCCACTATCTTGTCTCTGTCGCATGAGATAATTATCTCATGCAACATGAGATTAATTTTTTTTTTTTTTGAGTTACCCAACCATAATTACCTCTTTGAGGCGAGTTGGCTCCCTCCGGTATCCCCACAAGCTTCGACTCTTTGAGCCGGCTATGAGACTAATCCGGAGTGCGGGGGTCAGTGATGGCTAAAGGTTCAGCCCCCTTCCCAAGAATGCATTCAGCGGGAATCAAACACATGTCCAACCCCACTAACTCAGCGCCAAGGAACCAACTGAGCTGCACCCATTGGGTGCAACATGAGATTAATAGATCCCATCATTCTAATCTTCATTTGTTAGAATATAGAAGATCATTTAATACATGATCGTGTTATACTAATCCTAATATACAAGATCATTTGTATTATGGGCAAAAAAAAAAAATTATTACTTTTTTAATAAAAAATTTGGAATAAGTAGTCGTTTTGCAAAATATTACGAATCTATAGCACCCAAACACGCTCACATGAGGCGTGTTGTCATGGAGAGAGACACGCCTATGTGGGGCGTGAGCTACTGAAGGGGACACACCCAATGTAGGGCGTGAGTGGCAGGAAAGAGACATGCCTCTAATGGGGCGTGAGCTGTGATGGTAGACACGCCCAACATAGGCGTGTTCCACTGGAAGGTCACGCCTAATCTGGGCGTGAGTGACTAAACTGCAGTCTATTTAAACACCCACCCCCTACACACTCTTCACAACTCTCTCATTGTTATGCTTAAACTCTCTGATAGTTTGCACTTATTTACTCATATTTTGTTTTATCTTTTTAAATTTTGATTTTAAAAATGAGTGCGAATTCTGATACTATTCGTGTTGTTCTATATTTTAACGGTAGGAAAGAAGAAGGTCGTCGTGGTGTTATTCTTGTAGGGGAGAAAAGGCCATCACGTATTAAACGGAACTCAACGGTTGCTGAGCTGCATTAGAAAATACGTCAAAAATTATGTCTTCAAGACAACCAATTGATCACTCTAGTCACGGCAAGATTATGGTAATGTGAACAATACATTAGCTTGCAAGTGGTCGATGACGAAGACATCGATATGGTAATGGAAGAGTTCTTGAACCAGTCCAGAAAGGATTTCTTAGAGTTGTATGTGGATACTACCACCGCGGAGGAAGTTGTTATACCAATGAGGTCAGTTAGGTCTACTTCTCCTTTTAATGCATCCTCATCTGCTGCTTCTGCTGTTAACATGTCCGAGGAAGATGAACAAGACCCTACTTGGGTTATGGATGAGGAGTATGACGAAGATGATGAGGAAAATATTGCAATGGAGGATAGTCTTCTTGCATAGGATGCAAGTGCATCGGACAATGACGAAGAATGTGGCAGGTCTGGTACTGAACTTCAACCATGGCATGATTTGGGGGAGTCTCGTATCGTTGTACATCATGACACAACATCGAGTCAAGTACCAGAACATCCTGAAGGTATGCTATCAATTAATGTACTGACATTTTGGTTGTTGCAATTTTTGATTAAGAAAATAATTCAATTCTATTATTATTATTATTACGTAGTACATGTAGGCGATACACCTGTTGATCCTTTTTGGTCAGAAATTCCACATTACACATATATTGATTGGGATTATCCGAGTGAGGCACAATCATGGACGCAGAGTTCGGGTTCAATCCAGGGTCCATGGCAATTGGGAGAAAAGTTGTTTGTTAACCAACACTTTACATCCAAAAAAGAGGCTCAGATGGCAATCAAGCGCTACCTCATGAAGGAGCATCAAGAAGCAATTGTGGTTGAGAGCACTCCCACAAAATTAAGCATGAAATGTTGTGCACACGTCCAAGGTTGCCCGTGGAGGATCAGGGTAATTAAACCAACGTATGGTGAAAATTGGAAGGTAACGAAATGGGGTGGGAATCACAATTGCTTGAATGACCATCTTTCTCAAGATCATCGACAACTTGATTCTGACGTTATTGCAGCACTTGTAGTAGGTACATAATTTCAAATTAAAAAGCTGATTAAAATTGCAGTTGATATACTTGTTGTTCTGTTAATGTTTATATCCAGCTTTTGTAATTCAGAGATGATAAAAAAGGAACCTTCAGTGGCCATTGCGCTCGTTTAGAAGAGGATAACTCATTCATATGGATTCAAAGTTTCATATAGAAAGGCATGGTATGCGAAGCAGAAAGCCATGGCAATGTTATATGGTGATTGGGAGGAATCCTATGCATTTTTACCCAGCTGGTGTGAATATATGCTTCGTTTTTTACCAGGTTCCTTTTACAATATTCAAACAAAGGATTGTTTTGTTGCGGGGAGTTGGTTCCCGGAAAACGTGTATTTGTTCGTTGTTTCTGGACTTTCAGACAATGTTGTGAGGCATTTAAATTTTGTAAACCAATGATACAAATTGATAGCACTCATCTATACGGAAAATATAAGGGAAAGTTGTTGATTGCCACAGCTCAAGATGGTAATAATGAATGTGTGCCACTTGCATTTTCCGTTGTTGAGGGTGAGACATTGGAGGCTTGGTCATACTTCCTTGCCAATCTTCGTCAGCACGTCACACAAGCGCAGAATATATGTCTAATTTCAGACTGGCATGTTAGCATATTATCAGCTGTTGAAAATAATCCCCTATGGCAGCCACCCCATGCATTTCATGTGTTTTGCCTGCGACATGTTGCAAGCAATTTTAATCAACGATTTAGAAATGATAAATTGAAGGCTAGCCTGATGAATATAGGTATGTTGCACACTATGATTGGTGAATTAAAATGTTGTAGTTTTTCGTTAAGCGTCAACTATGTGTTTTTTAAATTGTTCGCAGGATATACTCCTTGCATGGTGGATTTTGATAGGTTGCTAGCACGATTTCGTGACACAAGCAGGCAGGTAGCGGAATGGATTGATGCCATGCCTAAGGAAAAGTGGTCACGTGCACATGACCTTGATGGACGAAGATTTGGGCATATGACAACAAACTTGGCAGAATCCATAAACAGGGTGTTAAAGGGAGCAAGAAACATGCCCATTACTGGTCTGGTAAAATTTACATACAGTAGATTGGTCCAATATTGCGTGGAAAGAGCTCAATCGGCTTGTAGACAACTTGAATCTGGTCATACTTATTGCAAAAATGTGATTGAATCATTGACACATAATGAATCCGTGGCAACAATGCATACTGTGCGTACATATAATGTTGATGAAACTGTTTTTGAGGTGGATGCAAGGTTTGAAAGGACATATGCTGTCAACCTTACTGCTCGTACATGCCAATGTGGACAATTTAAAGCATTTAAATATCCTTGTAGTCACGCCGTTGCTGCAGCGTAATCCATTCGTCGAAATTATCGACAATATATAGATGATGTTTTCAAGACGTCAAACTTGGTAAAGGCGTACTCATTTCCATGGGAACCAATCGACAATGAGCAAGAAATTCCACCCAATGCAGGTCCTGTGGTAATACCGGATAAAAATATGTTACGGGCAAAAGGTCGTCCAAAGTCTACAAGAATACGGAACGAGATGGATAAGGTTGAAACTATTACATCACGCAGGTTATGTGGTCTTTGTAAGCAACACACCTAGACTGAGCCTCTATAGCCTGTGCAAATGCGTCAAGAGAGGGCTCCTCGTCGTCAACCGCCTCTGGAACATGAGTTGGTGGAGTAGTGCAAGACATGCCAGGTCCTGAGGCAACAAATCCACTGCTCGCAGATGGTATAAAATCATGTTGTGCAGTAACTGGCTGCATGTGCAGCGAAGTCGATGACAAAGGGTCATCGGGCACATGATGTGAAGGTGGAGGAGCAACGGGTACATGTGTAGGCCAATCGCCTACTCCGTCTGTGGTCAAGTCCAAGGTCTGGCACCACTCCGTTACGTCTTCCGTATTCCACTCCTGGTACTCTGTACTACAGGAAGGATCCTGAGAGACCGGTACCCCACCAGATGCGCATGCGATGGGGCTAGCCTGATAAACTCGCTCACTCTGTGTAAACCCTTGGCCATACGATGTACCTGCCTGGCTATCATAATACTGCGGCGGAGGAGGACCATGGTACATAGGTTGTGGCCCGCCTACTTGGCTCAGCACTGGCGGTCTAAACCAACCCTGCATATCAGTGCGCGGTCTAGGAGCAATAATAGGATCAGGTATCGCTCGAACCGATTCCCGTTGTCGTCCTAGTCTACGTCCCTCCTGCCTGCCACTAGGCACCTCAATGGTCAACATCGGCTCCTCAACAGTCTGCGTAGGTGGAGCCTATGGCCCTGGCTCTTCTACTCGTGCCAACTCTCTGAATATGGCAATAATGCGACCAATCTCGTCATGGACCCACTCTAAGCCAAAGGCGGGGAACTGATCCACAATAGTCGCAAAATATAGCATCTCCAACCCATCAATCTATAAAGAAATGAAACAACATGTGTTAATTAAAAATGTAAAAAACACATAATCATATTCAAAATTGAAGTGTCAAAACTTATTGCTCGTCCAACCCTGGCAGCTTTCCTGGCGACGAACCGTTTCCCTCGCTGTCTGTACCAGTGTAGGTACTCATGGTTCGGGGACATCAACCCGACCAGTACAGGGGGAACACGTATGGACGTATCCCTTATCGTCCATCGATGTATGAAGGGCCTCATCTTACGCTCCCAATTATCATCCTTCTTCCCTCGCAGAGTTAGATCATGAACACCCTTAAGCTTTCTTGGTCTCCGCGATATGGGCTGATCAAAACCAAATTGTCGCATACATCTATCCGGTTGAGCGTACTCAACTGTGTGGAAGCAAATGATAGGAGTAATGGCCAACCATAAGTACCGCTCATGATCAGATACAAACAATGCTGTATGGTACTCTCCGTATGGCTACCACACAACCTACATATAAAAAAAGTAGTAACAAGTACACAATTACCACCAACTATAATATGTAAATAAATTAAAAACAATTACTAAATAGATATCACAAACCTCGTCTCTATAAAGCGTGTCAAGGTTTGCCCGATACCAAGACTGCTCATGTGGCTTAAAGGGAGGTAGGGAATTAAACCTGTAATAGAATGTGTAACAAATTATCATACTTATACGGCAAATGAACATGTAATAAATTAGTCAATATGAGTTAATAAAATATACCTGTGACCAAAATGCCACTCCGGGTGGGTAGGCTGCAGGATAGGTGGTGCAATGGGGGGGATATAATCCAAGCCCATATCTGTAGTAATACGTGACAACCACCCATATTAACAGTCCGCGGGTTTGTTGACACACATAAATGTCTAAAGAGATGGGCGAGAACCGCAGACCCCCAACTGTATCTGCCAATGTCTGTAAAGTCCCCTGCAAGCAGTGGAACGTAACGACAAGCAATTTTGCTGCCACCTGATTTGTCACACACTAACCATGAGCCTAATAGCCGCAAAATGTGTGCCTTGGTGTAACGCCTCACCTCCTCAGGATTGTGTGCTACTGTAAACCAATCAGCATATATTCTGTCTAAGTAAGAAATATGTAGATCGCCTCCGTGAATGTCTGTGCCCGCAACAGGGGCAGTCCCAAAAACCTGCTGACACATAGCAATCCAATCCAACGCTGTAGATCCGGTAACTGCCTGCCCGTCAGTAGGCAAACCAAGTATACCAACCACGTCCTGTAATGTAACGGTCATCTCTCCATACGTCATGTGAAACATATGTGTCTCCGGTCTCCAACGCTCAACCAAAGCAGAGATCAAGGGGGTATCGATCTAAAGGAAAAACAACGATTATACAAAGTCCACATACGGTAATTTAATTAAGTAATTTAAAAATTACATACCTGAATATGACTCATACGTGCCACGTGTATAAACCCAGCCTGTGTCAAATAGTCAGCGACAACGTCTGGTATATCATCATGATGGGGTCCCCCCTGAAGTTTCCCTCGCCTCGTCTTTAACCCCCTGACCTTATCCTCGTTCCACACAACTTGTGAAACGTGACTGCGTTGTGTCCTCTTACGGAGTGCCTCCCACCTATATGGGCCAGGAAGTACATGCGTACAAGTATCGGATGGCTCAAGATCACCATCAGATCCAGAGCGCGAGGACTCTGATGAAGACGAATGGGCCATAATAGAATACTACTACAAATGAAAAAGATGTACCCAAATTACTATTGATATTATATTAATTTACACTAAATAAAATTTAATTGCACTTAATTAAATAGCATTTAACTAACTTTAATTGTTATATTAATTTCAATTAAATTAACATCATTGACAATTAATTCATTTAACATTACATTATTCTAAAAATATATTTCAATACATTAAATAATTCAAATTCAATTTAAATTAATATTGCATACAATATTCTTTTTTTACAAACCCTAATTATGATGTGGTTAATTGAAAGGTCAATATATTTGCAAGTGTCATTCATAAAAAAATATTTATTGTCACAAACTAATTTCTAAGTGTGTAAATAAGTCATAAAACCAACATATACCAATTTAGAAGTAACTAATTAATTTTTAAGTCCATATCTAATACCTAAGTCACATCACAATTCTCTTACATAGGTCACTAATATTTTTCTAACCCCCTAACAATTATCTAAGTCACTAATAACTATCATATATTAATTGTTGTTAATAAAAAAATAAACAATAAATAGGGACTTACATGAGAGAGAGACAGAGTTTCGCTGCGCAAAACCCTCCAAATGAAATGTAGAGAGAAAGAGGAGGATGAGGTTTAGAGAGAGGATGGGAGGGTGTATATGGGGTAAAAAAGTGAAAAATCCATATATATAGACCACGGAGAACACGCCCATCAGGGACGTGTCTCTCTCCTGCCACACACGCCCTACGTTGGGCGTGTCCCCTTCAGTAGCTCACGCCCCACATGGGCGTGTTTCTCTCCATGAGAACACGCCCTACATGGGCGTGTCTCTCTCCATGAGAACACGCCCCATGTGGGCGTGTTTGGGTGCTATACATTTGTAATATTTTGCAAAACGATTACTTATTTGTAATTTTTTTATTAAAAAAGTAATAAATTAATTTTTTTGCCTTGTATTATGATTTCCTTGTTATGCCTTCACACTATTTGAATGTTTTTAAAAAATATTTATTTATTTACCTTATTTCAGGTAACATTAATTTTTTTGAATTAATGCGATATAATTTGTCTTCTCCTATCAAATATTATCACCTTAATCTTTATTAATTTTTTTGGTAAATAATCTTTATTTTTAACATTTTCATGATTAGTGTAATTGTTTTTCTTTTTTTTTTTAAGGATCCTAGTATAATTGGAGATTTTGATAAAATTTATTTTTGTCTACCTTATTCTATATTCTTTTAAGTGTTATTGAATGAAGAGGAAACAAAAGAGATTGAATAGATTGTGTGTGTTTTAACTCGATAACAGTTTATATAATGAATAGACACAATGAATCAAGACCAGTGACCAACTATCTTGCATAATAAAACTCTTTTGACGCATAATATTTTACATTATTTGAACCATATAAATTATATTTGCTAAACTTGTTATTAATATAACCTATTCGAGGATTGCTGGAAGGTTTACGGAAATATCCATGATCACTTGAATTTATGAAGTGAGTGATTATATCTCTTGATAAGATCTTCTATCGATGAAATGTCAATCTATTTTTATGTGTGGATCCTCTTATGAAAAATTTAAAGCAATATGCAATGGAACTTGATCATCACAAATAAGTGTTTCCTATATTATTTCTCTAAACTTGAGTTCTTTAAGTAATCGTCAAATGAGTTAACAAGTAATTAATGCCATAATCTAACATTCTTGCGACGATGTTCTCTTTCTTATTTTTCTAGAAAATCAAATTATTTTTGATAAATTATCTGTGCTGATTTAGTGTAACAACCTATTTCATCAGCATATGAGTATCAAGCAACTTAAGTATGATCTTTATTATCATAAATAAGATCGTAACTTGAAGCTACTTCAATATACTTGAGGATACGAATTACTATATTTCATTATCATGCAGAATTAAAATTTAAGTGACTTATCACACTAACTGCAAATGAGTCAGGACAAATGATTGTAAGATAATTCAATTTTATAACTAATCACTTGCATTTCTCTAGATCTGAAAATGACTCTCTCTAATTTGAGAAAAAGTTGGCATTTAGATCCATATGAGTGTCAAATATATTTATGTTCATGGGAGTTATTTTTTCAAGTATGTCAATGACATATTTCCTTTGTCAAATATATTTATGTTTTTTATCAGGGATCCAAAAGAAATTTTACTCTATTATCTTTGAATCGTGATACCTCTATCCCTAAGAAGTATATGTTTTTCAAGATGAGTAGCATATTGTTTTATTTGAATTCTTTAATAACCACAAAACCAAATGAATAGACACTTCGACGAAATATAAACGTTACTAGTATAATAGAAATTTTTTTAAAACATTTATTTATTTGCCTTAGGCATATAAGATTAATTACTTTGAATTAATGCGATATAATATTTCTTCTCCTATGAAAAAATTATCACCCCATTATTTATTCATTTTTCATGACTAATAAAATTGTTTTTTTTTTTTTAAGATCCTAATATAAGTGGAATTTTTTTTTAAAATTTATTTATTTTTAACTCACTTTATATTCTTTAAGCCTAATACTAATTCATTAATTCATTTAAATAAGAGTGATACAATTTGTCGTAACTTATTAGAACAATAATAATAAGATAAACATAAAATCATTAAATAATAAAATCCTATCAAAATCTAAAAACTACAATCATATTATATAATAATCTCACGTAAAAGAAAATCCTCCTTCGTAAGTTCATTGTTGAAACTATTACTCTCTTATAATTTAACTTCAATATTAAAAAAATGTTAAGTATTATCACAATGATAAAATTACACGACTATCAAGAGCTGTTATCAGCGAACATAGTTGCCCTCCAAGACAATGTTCAAAATTTCAAAGAAATTAGAGAAAGAATTTTCTGGTTGGAAATAAGTTGCAATGAAGTGAATAAACGATAGAGTGAGTAGAGCAATACATGTAACAAAAATTCAAATCAAGTAATTAAAAACAAAAATTATATGATAATCAACAAAAAATTTCACATCATTATAATAATTGTTCGTCCAAGGACCTATATTTTTGGGTGTTACCTATACATAGGGTGTTGTAACTCGTGTATGGCATCTTAGAGTTTGGGATGTAAAAGATAAAAATAATACAACTATACAAGGTATGATAATTGATAAATTCTTGTGAACAGTTTTAAGAGATAATTATAACATGCTATCAGTGGAGAAATTGTGAGTCTTTCTCAATCTTGTGCTAGGCATGCCACACACTGCTCGCTCCCAACCAATTTTCATGTTTTCATTGTCATACACAACCAAATATCCCCTCAATGAGACATCTGCAAAGGTTAGATTTACTCATAATCAATGAGAAAAAAAATTGATCACCTAAGCTGAGCAAAAGAGTGGAAATGACAAGATGTTACACAGAGAAGTTAAATTTCACAACTTACATATAGCATGAACAAGCATTATATATATAATAATTATGTGAATGAAAAGCTGCAAGGTGGTTTTTAAATTGTTGAATGCATCCATATTTTCATTTAATATTTTCTTAAGAGTTAAGAGGATGTTTTAAGATTTACAAAAAAAAAAAATGTTTTAAAGAGAATATAGCAAAAGTTAGTAACATATGAATAAAACAAAACCATAAAAGAAGTTCCAAAACTAAAATAGTCAGTGAACTAACTTATCATAACTGCGTTTACTAGCAAAAGAGAGACCCCTTGGAGTCAAAAACCAAGGATATATGAAGGATCTAGGGAAAGAAAATTAATACCATTGAATGGACAAGAAGAACATAAAAAGTAGAAAATTATTGGAAAAATGTAGGAGGAAAAATTGCATAACAATAAGCTATCAGGTTTTCGTTGAGGGTAAGAGTACCTCCAAGTATAATTGAGGATCCATCGTTTACATTGCTACCGTCAAGGATAGCCAAGCACACGTTGCCTTTGTTCTGCAGCATAGGAGTTTATTAGAAGGCCTGGCAATAACAAAATTAGTTGGAACTAAAAGTTGTATTAGAAATAGAGGATTACACTAATGATCAAGTAACCCTCTGGAGGTATCTGAAATAATGTGGACAAAATCCACCACTTGCTTCCAAACTTAAGAGTTAAGGTTTTGAAGAAATCCTGGACATCTTTGACAGATCTGCACGTACACAACATGGATTTTAGAACAGCATGCTCCATTGTGATGGATAATGCTCTTAAGGTCGGTCAAACAGATGCAAGAAAATAATAGACTTATTTTATTTCACCATAACATGAGGCATTAAAGAAGAAGAGCATTCATTATAAACAGCATCATTGAACCTTGAGTAATTCAGCTCATGAATATCTTGACAGCTTTACATATCATGTTACTTGTTAGTTATTAACAACCAGCATTAGAAAAAGCAAAAACTAAGTGCACCTTGAGTAATTTCTCTAACCTGATTGGGAAATTAGCTTGCCAGCAAATGGGTAAAGTTGTATCTGAATCATCTTGAATTAGCCTCAACCCAGAAACTTTTTTAAGCTGCACCAATACATACATAATTAATGAATTTGTAGTTCAATATATGACTCTAAATGAAAAATGTACAAAATTGTTGCAGATAGTTATATGTAAAAACTCACAGAAGCAACAAGATCCAAGTATGCCTCCTTTGTAAAGTACGTATAAGAACTGCCACTATCAAAAACCACCTTTCCTACTTTGCTGTGGCCATCAAAACTGAGGGGGCTATTTCCATAATTTATTCCAACAATCTCAGCTTGGTATAGATCTCTGCATAGAGTAGAGTAAAGGTGTATGCCGCCCCATACAAGTTAAAGAAGAATAAGAACAAACCTCAGAACATTAAAAATAAGGAGACTCTCAAATGAAAAAAATATAAAACATCAGTTTTGGGAATAAATGCTCGGCATTCTCTCAATAGAATTTACATTTTAGTTACCTCAAATGAAAAACAAACTCATTTCATAACAGGGAAAGAAGCACATTGTTAGGAAAATCATACTCACGTAATATGGCTATAGGCCATTGGTACCCAAGTCATACCCCAATATGGCACAAAATCATCACCCAAGAACATGTATCCACCACCAACTCCATCACTGCTTAGGCAATGACCAACCACGTTCTTAATAAGCCCTTTACTTGCCAACTGGAAAGGTAGGCTGACCTTTGCCCTGCTCAGTCCCATGATTCCATCTGTTTTTGCCAATGTGTTCAAAAGTAAGCCCTCTTGATCATATCCACACCTTCCAACAAAAATAATACATGGAATGGATCAGCACTTTCATAGAATATATTGCTTTACAGAAAAAGATAGAGTTGCAAATTGAGGATTCATACCCAAAAACAAAATTTAACTCGGTTTTGGATCCAGTAGTAGTCATAAGATAAAGCTCATCTCTAATAAGAACCCCCAAGGAAGAACTGTGATCCGCATATTGAATTTCATAGTCACACTGTTGGAAACTTCCATGAAATACATTCTTCTGATTTTTCTGAACTTCCAAGCAGAGATAGTCCACAGATGGCAGTATATTGGATCTTGCTGGCTTGTAGGGGACATGTGCTCCCTATATCAATTGTATCCTTGAGTAAACAGAGTCTCAAAAATCCACTTACAGGCAAAATTTCATAGACATATAGTCAGCTTATATTATATCTATAGTGCATCTTGATGAGAGGCATTTTCTAACCTTCAACTTACGTCTACTCAGAAATATATTTTAAAAAAAGACAAACAACATGCTGCTATAAAGCTTCAGCTATTCACAGGATCACATGGGGATAACTCCAACCATTGCGCCAAGACTCCCTTTCACTCTTTCAAAAGAATATATATATTTTAAAAGGGTCAGGTTATATTTACAAATTTTTTTGTTTACAAACTACACTATATTCTTCCGGGAGAATACAAACTTTTACAAACTACACTATGTTCTCCCGGGAGAACATAGTGTAATTTGTAAAAAAATTCAAAAAAGTTTGTAAACAGATCCTGTCCCATTTTAAAATATATAAGTAGAGAAAGCATGATGAGATGTGCACAGTCCAATTGGTAACTTGATACATCATAATATTAACCAGAAAGAAATAAAAACAATAGTTTACAAAGTAACTTCTTCAGGGCACATAATCCATCTCTGCATACCTCTAACTGAGTTGGATTTATAAATATAAAAATAATTCAGAAACCCACAGAGGTAACTGTCAGAAATTACCTTAGCACAACTTCTGCATGGAGCATCACATTGAATCCAAGTTAAGTCACTCCCTGTATCCACGTCAAGAAAATAACGTTTTGGAGGATTTCCAACAAGTAAATATGTGAAATATAACCTGCATGGAAGAACATATTGCTAGCCATCATACTGATGCAATATGGAAATTTAGAACAACTACAAATCAGTAGTTCCTAGTTTATCATAGAACTGGGGTGTCTTAGAGGGCATATCTAACATGGACTCTCCCCATTTTGAGGAAATGCACTACTAATAGTTAATGAAGGCATTGTTGGGTAAAAATATGGCTTTAAATTACAGTTGCTGTTGTGGTGGCAATTACAAAAATTGTTCATAACTGTAAAAATTGCTGCTGATGAGGCTACAATTACAAATACTTTGTTGTTGGGATTGTGGAGACCTCCAAAACCAAAATATTGTGGCCACAACCATGGCTTGGGACCGCAACTTTAAAAACAATATCCCCTCTATTATAACATAAATCCCTATATTAAAGCTTTCATTAAAATAATAAATAAAACAAAAAACTTCCCCCCTTTTGTATGTATTTAATGCACTACTATGTAGGTCACCGCAGAAAAGAACAACACCCCCTCTAAAGCAAAATTTCTATATTAATTATTAAAGCACTCAGCCCAAAAAGAAAAAAAAAACTTGAACTTTCCCACTTTTTCTTTTTTCCACTGATGATTTAGCAGAATAAGAATCAGAAAAAGCAACGATTTTGAACATACCCATCTGGATAAATGTTGCCACTGACTGGGAAAATGGAGGATGAGTCAACGGCTATATCTCTAGAATCAACATCAGTGTTCCCTTGGGTCACAACGTTCTCTTTTTGAACATCAACAAGCTTCCCTAGTTTAAGCTTCACATCCTTCTGTCCAAAAATACCAAATTTGGGGAACAAAGGGAAGAGGAAGGAACTGGGTCTTTCATCATCATTCTTGGGAACACGAAGTTCCTGAAGCGGATTGAAAGAAACAGAACCACAAAGAAAAAGTGCAAAGAGAAGAACACCAAAGAAAGAAAAGAGGACTATTGGGGTGCTAAGGAGGAGTCTTCTGAATGAAAACTGAAGCTGAGGATTTGATGGGTAGGATTGAGGAACAGGATCACTGTTCTGGGCATTGTGATGTGTTTGCTGTAGATGGGGTTGCAGAGAACCTTGAGATGGAGGAATAGATGGGTTAGAGAAAGTAATAGCAGTGATGGTTTTGCCCAAAGAGGGGTTATCAGGTGGTGGAAGGGAGATTATAACAACACCTTTGATCTGAGGTGATTGATCAGCTTCCATTTCTGTATCAGCAATATTAGGGTAAGACTAAGAGTGGAAGATAAATGCTAAGAGAAAGAGAAGATGGAAAGCAGAGTATGAAGAGACTCTCTTCTTCTCTTTCCCCGAAGTCTACCCGATAGTCTATCATATGACTTGACTCAGTCAATAGGATCATTCTTTGTTACTTGTTATTATTTGATTATAATTTAATTATAAATTTAACTAGTTAAATTAATCAAATTACGACCTTGAATTTTTCAAATTTTTATTATTATTATTTTGTGTATGTGATATATGATTTTAAGACATCGGATCCTTCTTAGAGTTAATGACTAGGCTCAAATTTACAATCAATTTTACGAGTAAAACTTTGATACTACATTTGGTAAATTTACCATTTTTTTTTTCAAAAAATCCCGTGGAAAAAAGATTAAGCACACAAATGTTTTTCCAATTTTACATATCAGAGTAAGGATTTTAAATATGGATAATTATTATCTTTGTTAGGATACATGTACTCGTGGCCAATGGAGTGATCTTCGAGGAGCAAGGAAAGAGACATTTCAAAAATGAGTATTTAGGGGGGTGTTTTGCAAACAGTTTTTTTGACATTAATTTACACACAACACTAATTTGTATGGGTAAAATGGTTGTTTAGTTTTATTTCTCTTAACCCTCTATCAAAGATGACATTAATGATATTTCACTCTCACTTATCCAGCAATTTGACCAAAAATCACCTACCAAACACTCCCTTAGTGTATTATGTGTTTAATCCTTTATATGAGCATGAGAGGTGTTTTATATAGTGAGTTGTGTACAGTAAATTCCACGGTATTAAGGGTTATATCGAGATTGGAAATGTGGTGTTTAATACTGAAATCGATATTTTAGGTGATGGGATGTATTTAAGGCATGAATACTGAAATCTTATGTCAATAAATGAAGTATGAGAATGTGATAACAAAACTTATGTCAATAGCTAAGTGAGCAAGATCATACTCACATTGTGTGTGCATCTAAAAGTTCTGATCTGTTCCTAGATGTCTTCCTTTAGAAACATGACCACCCCCGGGATTTTTGAACATGAGCCGCATGATTGGACAAAACATTGAGATCTAACTATGTATTACCCGTGCGTTGCACGTAGGAAAAAAAATCAATTTGTTTGTCTCGTAAAAACTAACACAACACATGCAAGATGTCGAACCTACATTTGTGATCCTTCATCCTCTTAGAAATGAATTAGTAATAATCTACAAATGAAAGTATGAAAAAAAAAACACATGAACATGTGAGTACAAATAAAAAGTGTTATAACAATACATCCATATATTGATGACCATGGAATATTGTTCGTTCAAAAATAGCACTTAACAATATACCATGTGTGCATGAAAAGAAGCGATTCCTGCATGAGAAAAAAAAAGTAGCAGTTAAAAAAACCTAACATTAACGAATATAAATAAAAAAGCACTTCATTGCCATTTTTTTTGTCTTTACCTATACCAAGGAATGATGTTATCTCATAGTAGACAGAAGGAAATTCACGACATTAATCTTTGAAATACTTCCTTGTAAATTATATTAAGGCTACTATTTGTAACACAACTGTTTTCATTAAGTATCAATATCTTTAATCCATGCTTACTCTTTACTCTAGACAGTGTCACATATAATTACCCATGAGTGAAGACAGGCTTGGGGAGATAAATTGCAACATGAGAAAGAGATTGTCCTTAGCTCTTATTGATAGTCATGGCAAATTAAACAATCAGGGGGAATTATCTTCTTTGGAAATTTATAGGAAATGTGTGACTTGATGGGCTCATCGTCATTCTAGGGTTTTATATTTTATCTCAGAAATGAACTTTCAATTACTACAATCAGATTTATAAAATAATAATAAATAATTATTAATTTTGCAAGGATTTGTGTCGTTAGTCTTTGGAATTTCACAAATTTGTATTTACAAAAATTGAAATCAGATGTAGTAATTTAATTATAAAAGAATAAGGATAAAATTTCAGTTAAATTATAAAAATATATTGGCGGGCCGGCCCTCCGGGCCGAGGTCAGTTTTCCACCTCTAACTGTCAGCATTTTATATAAATAATTTTTTTCTTTGAAATTTCACAAATTTGTATTTACAAAAATAAAAAACAGATTTAGTAATTTAATTATAAAAGAAGAAGGATAAAATTTCAATTGAATTATAAAAATACATTGGCGGGCCGGCCCGGAGCTTTTATGCAACTTTTATAAAAATACATTATATATATATATTCTGCAACTTTTATGTTACATTGAACGAATATTCAGGAATCATAAATTCACATAATTTGTTTTTCTTGCCGTTATTATTATGAGTTTAATTAGCAACGTTTAACAGAAAGGAACTGCCTTGAAATATTAAAAACATCTCTTCAAAATAATACGACAATACTCAAGTTTAAGATAGATTGTGAGAAGCGTTCTGGAACAAAAATAACTGAAAACATTGCTTACCCAAATAAACTGTAGAAGAGTCAAATACGTGAATGACAGCCAGAAATGCACCAAGTCACGTTCCATGTAGGGGAAAAGCCAAGAAATCAAAGATCAGCCAGTGGAATAGTCAAAATTATCTGCCCAAAATTACATTTTTAGCCTAAAAATGCAAATGACGAAAGAAAAGTGATCCTATGCTCGCCAATTGCCACGGTGCATGCGCACAAGCAACTTTTTTTTTTTAACTTTTTTTCCCCTCTCTCTCACACCCTTTACGAAGGATTGAAAACAACTATACACTGGATGAGTTCCATCAACCCCATCATCCTATTTTCTCTCTATAAGAACTCATCAAATTTTAATTGTAACAATAAGGGAAACTATTAACACTAATTTAAAGATAAAAAACTTTCCATTTGGATGTACATATTACCTTTCTGTAGAGAGACAATACCACCATTCTTCAATTTTGAAAAATCCAAGGAATTAGCAATTCTTAATAGGGGACGATCATGAGGTAATCCCAACCTTGAGTGCAAGGATCTCCTAACTTCAACTGCAGAAAGCATGAACAATTCATAAATCATGACACATGCAGATAAAAGAAATGATGTAGAGTGGTAAAAAAAATTACCCTATCCATGCCAGAGTTCAACACCATACCTTGCTTCGGTTCTGTCTCCCCAAAACTCAGTTCATAGAAAACAGTTACTGGATGCAGAAGAAAAAAGAGAACAATAAGTATCAAACACATATGTGAGCCAAAAAAAAGAAGAAAAAACATTACTATGAAACAACATTATAACTAAATAAATAATAAAAAGTTAAAAGACAAAAAAGAAGAATGTTTGAAGACTTGACATCTTTATGTATAACAGGCTTCAAAGCTTCCGTGTAGGTAATAGGCAGTGGACGAGTAACCATTCGGAAGATAACACATGCTGGGAGTTAATCTTTGTGAAACTGTATAGTCAAAGTAAAAAGCAGAGATTAGTTTACCCAGTAAAAATCAATGATTATGTTCCCAGATGAGCCAGAATCAGTAGAAGATGGTGGCAAATGAACCTAGCAAATGTAAACTTGAGTCAGAAATTTCAATATAAATTGCATAGGAAACAAAAAACTTGTAAGTTCTACTATTTAACTGTCTCACTTTTATGTATAAGAAAATACAAAAGACAAAGCTTCCAAAGATGAGTGCTGAATATATCTCTCCCAAATGATCATAGACAATTGTAGGGTTGAATATCCCAAACCTGAAAAATGCATACAAAAAGTACGTGTCATCTCTCACTGAAAAAGTAAAAGCGGTAAAACATCTTGCTTTGCAGGAAAAGCTTGTAAAGCAGGAAAGTTTCACACTATTTTCTTACAGAACACATAGTAACATGTGCATTACACATATATAACAACATGGGATCATACCAAGTTTCATTCCTGGTAAACCTCAAAACTGCATCTTCAGATCTCCCTTGTTGATTTTTTTATAAATTTTTTTATTGGTGGGTGGGGGTTAAATAAAAACTGCTGATCTTTGTGTGCAAAATCTCCACTCAATCAGTTTACTTATTAGTCACATTTTCAAACATAATACAGAATATCCAAAATGAAATGAAACGAAATCTTGATTTCATCGGCAATAGTGAAATGATATCTTCATTATTTTATTCCAAAGATCTAACAGAAGAGACTGGGCGAGAGGGACACACAATAAAAAAGTGAAACACAACAAAAATGGAAGAAAATATAATCAATCAAGCCTCTAGAGTATCTGGTGAAATAAAAAGACATAGTAAGGGAAAGCAAAGAAAGAATAATCTCATTGTACCAATACTACATATTATTTAGAATTTTAACTAAAAAAAGGAAATTAATTAACAAAATGATAAGCCAGAGTACCGAGTATCCAATGAGCCATTTTATTATCTAGATAATGCTGAAAGAGATTACTTTAAGAAGATAACAATGATTCTAGCCAGAAACCCTCACCACCAAAGGGCAAGATAAGTAATCAGCGTGACTAAATATGCAGCGACACCATTAGCCTGTAGAAAGCAAAAGCGAATTAGAAGCATAAAGAGATGTTGTGTTGCAATTGAGGAGAGGAGATAGAGGTGATATGACAATTAATTATAAAAAAAATAACCTTGTAAACAGGTCGGTTGCCAGTAGGAGAAATAGGACCCTCGACCCTTTGACAATTAATTACTTTTTACATTATCCGGTACCAGAACTCGAAGATCTGGAGAGGAAGAATGGCGACGGGGAAAAGGACCAGAGGGAGAGGGAAGAGAGGGAGTTCAACGATGTCGTCGGACTTGGGGGTTCATCTCTCATGCAATATATCTTCTATTGGGGGTTCAACCCTACAAAAAAGACGCTATAAAAAATTTGTCATCAGTAACCACACAAAAAGAATTTCACAAACCCTATTGAATTGATGCAGGAGAGCAAGAAAGCGTGAGAAGAAGAAACCTTGAAATGCTTGTGGAGACGCGAATGAGAAGCTTCGAGATCCAGGATTTCAGAGTGAGAGCTATCGATCCGGCGCTTAAGATCGTCAACACCTGAAAAGGCAAGGATCTTGAGGAACATGAGAAAGAAGAAGATGTGAAAGAAGAAGAAGAACGACTAAAAAAAATGAGAAAGCGTGTAGGTTTTGTTAAACGTTTAACAATTCCAATGGAGAAAGTAGGTGAACATTAATTGAGGTGTCAGTTTTTAAATTTTGAAAATAAAATGAGCTGTGTGTTAATTTTTAGAATTTGAAAATAAGATGAGTTGTGTCCCAATAAAATGAGAACAGATCTGCACCATTGATTTTGGACAGTAAATCGTGGCCATCAATTTTGAGTCCAGATTATAATTTCTTTTTGAATTTTTTATTCCCTGAATTACCCAAAAAGGAAACTTTTTGAATTGTGGAGTGTAAAAGCAAACACGTGTCAGAAGGAGAAGCAGCCACGTGTCAGAAGTTGCCAAAGAATGGCTTTGTCTTAGAATATAAGATGGATATTTTGCTTTTAAGAGTATTATGGTACGCAAATATTCTCTTATGGTTTAGTTGACATGAAACATATTTCATTCTCATTTCATTGTAAAAGTTAATACTATGAATAATGAAAGTTGATAGGGATTCTTATATTTCATTCTTTTTCGATATTTATTTGGGCGGTGAGGATCGAACTCATGATTTTATGGTTACTGAAACTTTGATATCATGTTAAGAACCAATTCAACCTAAAACCTTAAAGTGTTGGGTGAGGACTTTTTTAATGGTTTATATTATTCTCTAACATTAAACACAAAAGTAAAACCAAGGTTTAAGATGTTGGTCCAGATGAAATTAAGAGTAGGTGATTTGAGTTATATAATATTTTTTAAGAGAAAAATGTTTATTCTTTTAAAAAATAGTAATTTTAGTTAAAATTAGTGTTTTTATTTAATATTTAAATTAGAAAATATCTCACATTCTCTTATCATGATTTATGTTTCTCTCACAATAAAAAAAAATAGTTTGACTAAAATGACATAATTATATATCCTTTAAAAAGACAAACACTAATTCTATTTTTAATTATGAATATTGTAAAAAATAATTCAATTAATTATATGGGAAAAAATTTTGAAGGAAAAAAAAATTCAATCCCAATTTGGATACCTCTATCAAATTAGAAGATAAATCCACTACAATGAGTCAAACTCAATCAAAGTACAAGAATAAAACATATTTTACTTTTTCACAAGAATTCACTCACTTGAACCTAACCTCTTAGATCCAAGTCCCCTAGACTTACAACCTTGGCTTATGCTTCATGAGGCAATCTCTTTACGAGGAAGCATATTTTATTCTAAGAAGTTTTTGCAAAAATTCTAGGGTTTGATAAATAAAGTCCAAAAAGAGAGTTGAGAAATTGCTTATAGAATTGAATGTCAGCATGACTCAACCTCAATTTATGGATACTTTGGGCCTTGATGTGACTTTGTCAAAGAGATAGATGAATTACTAAATGCATGAGGCACAAATTGATCAAGAAGACTTCCAATCTTTGGGGAAATCTCTACAATTAGAGACTAATTGGCATGCTAATAGTTTAACATTTTCTTATGTTGTGAATTGGTGTCTTAGATTTAAACTCTTGCAAATAGCCCCTTTCTTTTCTGATAGCCAAATCCTTTGAGCTTTGGCTATCCTTACAAAATGTACACCAATTTACGGTACTAGCTACCTAACTCAAATCTCCTAAGGTCTCCTTACCTTATCAATGCTCAAAATCAAAATAGAAACAATTTTCAAGTATTTGATCTCTCAAAAGATCAAATTTCACATCAAGATTATGATGGGCATTCAATAAAGTAATCAAGGCCATTAATTAAGAATTAGTATATATAGAGATGTTTAGGGTGAGGTTTCTTTATGCATGTATTCAGACTTGTTTAGTGGAGAAATTGAGAGACCTCTAGGAAACTCTTGAGCTTAGGTATTTGGTTTGAGGGGGAGTTGAGGCTTTCTGGATTTATTTTTTGCATTTAATATTGTGTTAGTGTATGTAAAAAGAGGCTATGCCTCCATTGTCAATGATATTTTTCTAGGTTCCATCAATTTGGTATCAGAGAAATACAGCACTGATCTCATTGACAATGGAGGCATAACTTCTTTTTACATACACTAACACAATATTAAATGCAGAAAATAAACCCAGAAAGCCTCAACTCCCCCTCAAACCATATACTTAGGCTCAAGAGTTCCCTAGAGGTCTCTCAATTTCCCCACTAAACAAGTCTGAATACATGCATAAAGAAACCTTACCCTAAACATCTCTATATATACTAGTTCGTAATTAATGGGCTTGGTTACTTTATTGAAGGTCCATCAGATTACTATAACCAGTGTAGGTTGATCGCACAAAGCATTTGTATAAGTAATTTGGATGCAATGTAAGCTTTTCTCTCAATCTATGGCTTCATCTTTTAAAATACAGTGACTCATATGTGAATGCACGTGGGAAACCTACTTATATAGCCCTTGATAAAAAAACTAATCATTAGGAGCTTAATTTGGCTTAAACAACATTAAAATACTTGGGTAACACATGGTATTATCTGGGTAATTCGACCAATTGTCTAGGTAGTGCATCCTAAACATGTTTCACATGTGAAATGCATTTCAAGTCATATCTAATTGTGTTTTGTACACGTTTAGCTTACATATGACAGCTCTTTAACTCCTTTAGGGTCTTTGGCCACTCAATACACTATTTGGTATTGGGTGGAAACATTTTACCGTTGGGGGCGTTTGGTTCCCCCCGGCTGGAGGGGGGTCCCAGCGGGTTCGACTACCGCCCCTTCACCCAGCGAAACTTTTTTTTTAATTGCAGGGTAATTGAACTGTTGTTTTTATGGCATTCTTTCTTCCTTTTGTAGTAGCTATAAATTTGTCCATGACATGGCTAAAACATAGCAGCTTTATGAATTTAAGTGGACAACTGATCAACTAATCTTCATTTCTCTAAGTCGTGTTTTCCAAAAGTTTTGATTTGGCCCTGAGTTCTTAGTTCTGGAAAAAGAAACTAAATACATATTTTGTTGCTTCTATTTCTTCTTTATTGCTTGTATTCATGCATGACTGGTTTTGTTGTAACAGTAAAAGGCAATAAAAGTAAAAATAGAGGACTAAAAAGAAAAATTCAAGGTGTCTCTTTTATGAACCAGTTCAGTGTTTATATTTTTTCTTTTCTTTTAAAAAAAAAGCCCAGTTTCACTAGGGTAGTGGGGCAAAACTAGTTAAAGAAAAAAAAAGCCAATTCCGTTGGGGAGGGGGCAACACTCGAGCCCGCTAGAACGTCCGTGGAACCAAATGCCCCTTAACGGTAAAATGTTCTATCAAATACCAAATAGGTGAAAAATATAATAACCCAAATAGTTAAATTTACACTAATTAGAGATTAAAGTGTAATTAGAAGTCAAATAGGTGAAAAGCCTAAGTTAAAGCTAAGTCACTTTTTAGGGTAAAAATGAAAATAATAAAAGTGTTGGGGTAAATACGTAAATTATGCAAAGAGGGTAAGATCCAAAATAAATTAAGTGTGACACACTTTAATTAGACCAAAATAGCTAAGCAATCTAAAATAAGTGGTTTGAATGAGTGGTTGTAAAGAGAGTGGAATGAAGGGGAAAATAGCATTTTTATCTCAAAAATATCAAAACCCTCCCTCTCCTTTTCCCCCACTCTCTCTCATCCTTTCATTTTCTTCCTCTTCCACGGACATCTCTCTCTCTCTGTCCCTCTCTTACATTTTCCACCAAGGTTAAGGACAGCAAGGAGCTCTCCTTTTAAAGCATCAACTCCTATGAAACACTTCACTTCCTCTCCCCTCACATCTGTAGAATCTAAGGAAAGAGCAAAAGAGAAAAAACCCTCCTCCTTGACAGTGTTTGGGGCACCACTTTCAAGGAAGAAAAGATGGAATCTCTTCACTTGGATTCTTGGGGTTTTCACTTCTTCTAGCTAGTTGTAGAAGCATTATAGGTAAGTTCTATGGTTTAGTTTGAGGTTTGTTGATTTTCATGAAATATGAGCTTTAGGTTAGGGTTTGAGAAATTAGGGATTTCAGAATTGAACCTCGAATGGTGAAATTAAAGCTTGAATCCATGTTATTATGTGTAGGAGTATTGGTTCTAGTGGTGATATTGAGTTGGAATCACCATTGGAACCCTCTTTGAGAGAGGATTTGGTTATTAAATTAAACTTGAAAGAAAATAGGGATAAGTGCCCTTTTCTTGGTATATGAATGTTTGATTAAGGTTATTGATGAATGCATATATGAGATACATTGTTGAGTTATTGGGTTTTCTTGAAATATGTAACTTGTAGTGAATTACATTGGTTGGCTATTGGACTTTGCAAGGAGAAAGGCTTGGAAAGTGGTCACTATGGTAAACTCTTGGACATTGGAATTTATCCATTTTGTTGTTCCACCATGCACCTTGGAGTTATGGTTATGATATTGGATGATTGCTAGTTACATGACAAAGTTGCATTCATATAGAGTTATTGTGCATTGGTGTACAGACTAATGAATAACCAAACGGACTAATATACAATTGAATGCTAAATTGATTATTTAGCTATTTGGCCATTTGAACATGTGTACGGACTTTTCTTGGGCATCTGTCCTTAGAGGTACGACTCTTGAAAGTTTCATACAGACATTAGCTTTGAGGTACGACTCATTAGAGTACTACTGGGTGCACAAGCGAAATCAATTTTATGTTGCCTCTGTTTATATGATGCTTGATATGCCATGTATATTAACCCTTCATGCAAGAAGTGAACTCAAGGGTGGAGAAATCCTCTAAGGACCCTCAGTTTATTGAAATTATTATCTCACCCCGTTTGGAGATCATGTTTCAGGTACTCTAGGTGAAGGAGATGGAACTTCATAGGGCAAGAAACCTGTCTAGAGCACGAGAGTTTTTACATTTTGATTCGGCACATTTTGGATATAGATACATGTTAGGACTATTCTTTTGGAAGATGTATATTTGTATACTTGTATGATGAGTGGTATAATTGGTCATATTTGTATCTATGTTAAAAGGAAATCCAAGTATGTTATGGTCTTGGTTTTGATCATGTAGACATTAAGATGAATGTTGTAATGGATTAAGGATTGATGCCAAGGATAATAGTGAATTCATAAATATAATGCATATTTTGATGCTTGCTTATTGGAAAGATTGTTGATAAGATCTATTAGGTACTTAGAGCAAGTGTATGTCTTGAAAGCGAGTCCAATGCTCCAAATAGAATCTTTCAAGTTTGAGGGAAGCGCATTAAGGACCCTGACCTTCCATTGGAGCGCGCTATGCTCTAAAATGCTCTAGTGGCATTTGCTTCTATGTGAGCGTAACAATACATTGAACAGAGAAAATTTCACATGCAGGAGAGGGTGTTAAAGTGTGCTGACCCTACTTCTTAAATTCATATTTTACCCCTTTTGGCTTATGTGGGCCAGATGTTATGGGATTGTAATCTAATGTAGGATATTTCTAACCAATGTAAGGTTAATAATTAAGTAAGAAGGTGTTGTTGAGTATGAAATGACTTTATTTATAATAAAAAGGAAAAAAATTATTCATAATTATATGTTATTTTAATGAAAATCTAGCTGCGCTTAATACTATAATTACGTTAATACACTGGGTGCACACGAGATATTACAAAAAAACATATGAATAAACCCCAAATGGGTCAAAGAGCCTACACATGACCTTAGAAAAATGTCTAAATACTAATATCAATGTAATTCATTTCCTGTATCCAAATAAGATATGAATCCATGTGTCTCTCATGCATATGATGCCATGTCTATCATCCAAGGCTCAATGAACCCAACAATCATATTAATTTAAAGTCTAATTGGATATCAACTATGGGAAATGTATCTATTATATAACATGATGAAAGCTTGTTTTCCTACATAAACAAACAGACGTGGGGTCCACAATTTTGTATTTTCTCTTTCCTCAACTCATTTTCTCTCTCTTCTTTTATGTTTGTGTAGGACCAAATAGTGTTTTTCATGTAACATTATACATGTATAACCCATAAACTATTCATTTGATCTTCATCTTCTGCTTGCACTTCAAGTATTCTCTAACTTTTTGTTGACTTTTGATTTTAGATCTTGGTCTTCTCTTTTGTTTATGTTTGTCTTCATATGTTGTTACTTTCTCTTCGATCTTTCTTATCATTTGAGATTTAACTCATCAAAGCTTCTTAATGAATGGTGTTGTGGCGATGACATTGAGTTCATGTGTAGGTTAGGTATGCAATTCCACTTTATCTTTTAGCAGCACCATTACAAGGGACTAGGAACGCCACCATCAATACCATTACAACTCCCATAGTAAGACCCAACAATCACATCTTTTAATCAATGCAAAATAGCCAACGAAATTCTTCAACCTTTCTAGTTGAGGACCTCAAATCTCTTATAAACCCTGCATCTCGTGATTCCAAACAGATTAGAGCTCTTGACCTTGTCTATGGTTTCATTTATTTCTCTCATTTTATAGATTGGTGTTATTTGGTTTCTCTAAGATATTATTGTATAAGCTTTTCACGATCTTTGATAAAATTCATATAACAAAAAAATAAACAAATTTTTTAATTTATTAATTCTTCAACTCTCAAAACAACATAGGTTTAAGATTGTAGAAAATAATTGGGAAATAGTTTTCTCCAACTGTAAGAGATAATTATCTCATGTCAGTGAGACATAAAAAGACGTACCTGCAATTTCTTTTCTTTTTTATTTTTCTTTAACCACTGGGCTCCACATTTCTTGTTAGTGTAGAAAAAAAACTTCTCTCATGTTAAATGAGAGAAGTATTACCCAAAATAATTTTATCTCCGTTGGATGAAAAATATTTCTCCAACTTTATATTCAGTATTCACAAACTTCAAGAAATTTTAAACAAAACTCGTTCAAACCAATAAAAATTAAAAAAGAAAAAGAAATTTTACTCAAAAATATGGTTAGATAAAAAATATTATCTAATAACACAGATGAATTTTTTTTTTTATTTTTGATCGAAGATGAAATTTTTTATATAAAAAAGAGAAAGCTGGCAAAGGAAGAAGTTGATGCAACAGCAATAACAACAACCCAAAAGGAAAAAGATATATCACCTTCACCATTTACTTCACACGGTTCCTTATGGCGATAGTCCTTATGTTAGAGTCAAGCATGCTCAGGTACAACATATTTATACCCATTTTTGATTCAAAAACTTTGTTTATTTTTGAAAAATCTTTGGTTCAAGAGGATGTGTCTCTATTCTCGAAGGGGAATTAGTCTCATCCTTTTTCCAGTAGCGAAACTCAATGCACCCCTGTTTCAATGAGAGGGAGCCTTCGGGTTGTACTCCGAGGATAAAATGACCGGAGAAGATTGAATAGGGATACCCTCCAGTTTATTTCAAAAATAAAAATAAAAAAAATAAATTACACTGGTTATGTATATTAATTTTTCTCTCACGTCCTCTATGTTTGATGAGAGATTCATGAAAAAATCATAACAATTGTTTATGAACTGCTAATATGGTCTAACATATGAAAAAGATCCATTTCCATCAATTTGTCTTGTTCAAAAAAATTCAACTTATTACTCAAGTTAAAGCTTATCGAGTTGTTATCAAAAAAAAAAAAAAGCTTATCGAGTTTTATCAATTTTTTCTCAAATAAACCCAACACAACCTAAACATTTATAATTACACTGATGTTAACCTGTAATCACCTCTTCTAGTTGCACAGAAAAATTGAGGGCTGCCACGTGTTTTTTATTTATTTGTTTTATTTGGCCGAAACTTTCGTTTAGACCAATGTGGATTAATCACATGTTCTACTTAAAAAAGGTTTAAAGCCCTAATTTGGTCGTTAGTTACCATTTGGGTTTTCTTCACTTTTTCCATTCTGCTATGGTATGAACCTGATTTTCCTTCAAATTTGTTTTACTGCCACTGTTTCTGCAAATGGGTATTTTTATTTTGCCCATTCTGGTGATGAATTTTCAAATTTTGTTTTTTAAAATAAAAAAACAGATTTTCCGGTTTTCTTCTCTAAGTTTATTGGATTCACAAATACGATTACACATTTTTTTAGTAGAGTTATGACAAACCTGTGAAGTGTTGATTGTTCCACATTAGGAGAATCTACCTTAAACAATGTTAATTGGCTTTTTCTTGGGTTTATTATCTTTACACGTGGATCTTGTCTTAATATTTTTCATATAGTTTGATGTTTCTAGTTGGGGAATTTTTTTATTTTGTAGTTGATCAAATACGCATAAACAAGCAGCACAATGTGTTGACTGTGGAGCAAGAAGTCTTATCAATGATAGAATGTGTTAAGCTGCATATAAAGAGAAGGCCTGTTAGAGACAGTGGCTTCTAGCATCAGACGACTTTCAAGACTGATCAAAGGTTTCATTCCTCTTTATTATATTATTATTATTTTTTCATTTTCCTACTTTATATTTATTTATCTTAAATGTGTTCCCATAGTTTTCTTTTCTTAATTTTCACTTGAAATTCTCCAACTCTTTTCAGGAACAGGGAAGATTACTCAAAAATTACCCACTTGAAATTCTCCAACTCATTCTAATGGCACCCAAAGAGCCATTGGTGATATCTGATAAGGATGAGATGAGGAAATGGTCAAGGGCCATGAGATCCCAAGGCAAGGTCATTGGGCTTGTGCCCACCATGGGTTACCTTCATGAAGGCCACCTTTCTCTTGTCAGAGAAGCTCACAAACACACCAACGTTGTTGCTGTCTCCATCTATGTAAACCCTGGTCAGTTTTCACCAACTGAGGACCTTTCCACATACCCTTCTGACTTTGAAGGAGATATCCAAAAGCTCATGTCTGTTCCTGGTGGTGTTGATGTTGTTTTCCATCCCCACAATCTTTATGATTATGGATTTGATACAAAAAAGGGTGATTTTGTTGCGGGAGAGGGTGATGGGGTGGTGTCTTGCATTGAGCAGAGTGCGTTGGGGCATGAAACTTGGGTCAGAGTTGAGAAGCTGGAAAAGGGTCTTTGTGGGAAGAGCAGGCCAGTTTTCTTTAGAGGGGTTGCTACCATTGTGACCAAGTTGTTTAATATTGTGGAGCCTGATGTTGCTGTGTTTGGGAAAAAGGATTATCAGCAGTGGCGAGTTATTCAGAGAATGGTAATGATTTTTTAGAGTTCCTTTGTTTTGCTTTATTCAAAAAAGAGGAATACTTGTAATATATTATTGATATCTTACTTTTAATACTGCCTTTAGTATTGAATGAATTTTCTTGTGAACCCTACTAATAAAAAGTAGATTTCGGAATGTAGTGAGCATACATGTGAATTAACCTATTAATAGAGAGTGTTGGAAAGAGAGTTTTGCTAGCATTTCTTTTCCTAAGAATTATATATCTTAAAAGTGTTAAGTTTTTTTTTTTCCGTCCTACCCTAACAACATAAAGCTATATTGTTGAGCTCTTTTTAATTTTGAAACTGGAATATAAAGTTGAATATAATAATTAGCTTGCTTAGAAGAATTGGTCTTATTTCATCTTAACCTTGTAATTTCCTGTTTTTTACTTTCGGCATTACTGCACTTGCATGTTGAAGAACAGATAGTACAGACTCTTGGAGGGGTCTGCTCCTTCCCAATTTTTCCACTCAATTCTTCTCTCTTCCGATCCTCCCCCACCCCTTCCCCTCCTCATCATTATCCTAATCTCCTCCAAAATTTGTTCTTGACTTTCTTTCTCTTTTCATGCAACATAGGTATTATATTACCGCAGGGCATATTATTTCTACTAACTGCAATTCCTCTAATTCTACTATCACAGGGAATATTATTCCCGCTATCTCTGTCTATGCACTGGTGCCGTGAGTCTTTGCAGTCCTTCCTTTTTTTCCTAGTGTACACTTGGGTAATGGGAGGCCTACCATTACTATTAATGTCAAAACTAGCTCTTTGGTCCCAATGTTACATCATTAAACGTCAATGAAGATTCTATTCTCTAGCAGAATTGTTTGAGTCTATGCTTATTGTTGTTATTGGATGTTGATTATTATAACTTATTGATTGATTTCTTGTAGGTTCGAGATCTTGATTTTTCCATAAAAGTTATAGGTTCTGAAGTAACACGCGACAATGATGGCCTGGCAATGAGTTCTCGTAATGTGCACCTTTTACCCCAAGAGAGGGAAAAGGTTTTATTTAATTCAATTTTTTTTTTTATTACTTTAAGCTAGCCATGATATTTAATATTAAGCATCTATCCCAATAATGATAAGGTTGGCACCAAACTTTTCAGAATATAACTACTGATATATTTATAGATCAGAAACAAGAGTGAACAGATTACTGAATAACAACAAGTTTATTGAATGGAAACAGAGTCATAATACCATCATGAATACAACTCCTTACAATATCTAGAAGACAGTAATGAAAGAAAAACAATTAACGGAGCATTCCCCTCAATGGACTATCCAATTGAACAGGACGCACAATGAAAACAGACTCCACACAGCAACTGAGGCTACACCTTGCCCACTGCTACTACCCCCAACAATACAAAATTCTTCACACCTATCCCACTCCCCTTAACAGACTTATATCCCTCAATCTTCCTTCCCTCTCTCTCCAATATTCCCCTCTCTATTCATAGCTTGCCATGTGTCCTCTCCCTTAACAGATTTTGATTTGTCTTTAGTCCCTTCCTTATGGGCCCTGCGTGTATAAACCTTGTCATAAAATATGAGAGACCCATCAGATAATAAGAAAAGTAATGATGATAATATAATGTTGATGTTATAAAGCTTCTGATATGTTATCCTGTTTACTTTCGGCTGCACTAAGCCTTGATCAATTGTTAGTATTCTTTGCCTTCTATTTACAACTAGGTAACACTATGGTTTCTTTCAATTCTTTCCAGGCACTATCTATAAGTAAATCATTGTTAAGGGCTCAATCAATAGCAAAAGATGGTCAGGTGCATTGCGAGAAGTTGAGAAACTTGGTCATCCAATGTATTACCGAAGCTGGTGGAAGGGTTGATTATGCTGAGGTGAGATGTTAAATTTTTTCCCTTTCTGTGTTTAATTTGGAATGTCTAATGAAATCTTAACGTAAACTTCCTTCGAAAGTGCACAGTTTTGTGGTTGGCCATTAGGTAGTCTAGACTGCTTAATTACATCTTTATCTTCAAAAATAATTTGATCTTAGTTAAAAGAGGAAATATTTGCAAGTGATGTAAGATATGATGATTCCTAAAGATCTTCTGGTTGCGTAATTGGTGAGGGACTGAGGGGGAAAGTTGATATGCTTCTTTGTTAGTGTCTCTGGACTTCATGTTGATGATCATGACATTTGATTAGATGCTTTAGTAAGAGTAGAGGTTGGATAGAAGTTAATAATCATAGATCATTTTTTGGAAGCTTGACCCACAGTATACTTGGAATTGTCCAGACTTCCATACAATAAATTTTTTGGGGTAGTCTAGCTTTTTCTGCAAGAATATTCAGACAATTCAAAATGTCTGTTTTTTCCGATTTTTATGATCTAACTTCAATTAGCAACAACATCCCTTCCATGCACAATTTTCCAATGCCCTTTATTTCCATTGCCATCATAATTTATTCTCTGCTTGCGTGCTCCAAATTCACATAGAAGGCCAAAGTTACTTTAATGGTGATGTATGCCTTCCCGAAATATATTTGTACGTAAAAGGCCCTTAAATGAAGCCAAATATGAATAACGAGGTGTATCGTTTAATGCTAACTAGGTTCTTTTTGCCTGCAGATTGTTGATCAAGAGAGCTTGGAGAAAGTGGAAGAGATCAAGAATCCTGTTGTCTTCTGTGTTGCTGCATGGTTTGGGAAAGTCAGGCTTATTGACAACATGGAAATCAACTTGTAAATGGATTTTTAAATTTGATCTGGTGTTTCATCTCAGATACGGACCTCATGGTTAATAGTTCTAGCAGTTAATGGGGTATAGGACATCTCAGATTTTTTTCTACAAGCTATGCATGATTACTTGTAGATAATGCATTTTACCACCTTATAAAATGCTACCAACGGGACTGGTTGGAATGAGGGAACTGGTCTGTTTCCTCATAAATTGGACAAAATACTCTTTCTTGGATTATTTATCAGAAGAGTTCAACTATTTGCTGAATAACACTTCCATGAAAATGGAAACGGAGGATTGAAGTTTGCTGACTGCAAAACATTAGATGGAATAATTCGGACTGGTCTTTGTATCCTAATTGTTATTTTTTTAAGATTAATTTAATGGTATGACTTTTATTTCAGCAAAACTATGCTAAGGACCAAAAGGCCAGCACAAGGCACATTAGGCTTGCTGTAACTGTGTTAGTACCAGCATATGTTGAGGCTAGCTAGGGGCACTGTGTTGGTATGGACAATCTATTAATATCCTAATCGATCAGTTTTGTCAACTTTATCAGTTCTTGAGGGTCTTCTTGGTTGAATACTTGATTTTTTTTCTCTCTCTCTTCCTTTAGAATGACAAACAATTTTTTCAGTAATAAATAAATAAAAATGTTAAACATGATCTTATATAGATATACCTAATATTAATTATATCTTAACATTTACACACTTTTGTAGCGTAATATTTACACCAATGTAATAGCTACAGTGGGTCTGATCCAATTGCTACAAAGAAGCTATAGGCAGAGAAACTGAGAGAGAATAATACTTTTTTGTTTTTTGTTTTTGAATACAAGTAGAAATTGAACGCATAACCTAATATAACTTACTCAAACCCTTCACCACTAGACCAATCCTAATTGTTTGAGAACAATACTTATTGAAAAGAATGTATCTCTTTTCCAAATTTAATTATAGGTTTCACATCTTTATTTTAGCAATTAACCAAATATTTCTATGTTAATTTGATTCCTTTTTAACTTCACCAACTAAGCGATAAGTTGGCACAACTAGCAAGTGCTGATTTCTTGGCATTGAGAGTCCAAATCTCTCAGTCATGTCCAAGTCATGAGGAGACATGCCCAATGGAAGTTCCCAATTGAAACAATGCACCAATTGAGCTAGAACAATCTCAGAAGTAATTAGACCCAAATGAATCCCAGGGCACCTTCTGCGACCAGAACCAAATGGTATAAGTCTAAAGTCATTTCCCTTGAAGTCTACACTGTTATTGACAAATCTCTCTGGATAAAACACATCAGCATTATGTGACCAAACTTTAGGATCTCTCCCAATTGCCCATGCATTTATTATGATTCTTGTCTTTTTCTTTATGTAATAACCATCAATAATAACATCTTCTCTGGACTCCCTAGGCAGTAGTAAAGGTCCAATTGGATATAATCTTAAGGTTTCCTTCACCACCATTTTCAGGTAAGGTAACTTTTCTAAATCAGTCTCTTCCACTTGCCTATTCATCCCAACTACATTTGCTAACTCATCTTGAAGTCTCTGCATCACCCTTGGATGCCTCAAGAGTTCTGACATAGCCCACACAACAACACTACTAGATGACTCAAGTCCTGCTTCAATTATATCTAATATAATTGCCTTGATACTTGTTCTGTCAATTACTTTCTGTTCGTCTTGGGGATCCATGGGTTGGTGCATAAGTGATAGCATTATATCCATAAAGTCCTTCCTGTGAGGGTCTTTCTGTTTGTCATGAGATAAATGCTCTTTTTCTTTGATAATCAGCTCCAAGGCTTGGTCAACCGCCTTACTTGCTTTATTATATCGTCTTTTTAATCCCTGAAATGGCCATGGTTGCATATATAATATTTCATTCATGTGTAGAATAATACGAAATCATGCAGTGAATAAAAAACAGTCTCTCTCACGCAATGCAGACATATTATACAAATCCATTTTTTTGGTTTTAGGTTGTGCTGATTTAATTTCACGATAAAATGGGCCAATATTGTACTCGAACTCGAGACCCGTGATCACGGAGTCTTTGATACCATATTAAACAATCATTTCACCTAAAAGTTGAAGATATTACGTGAAGGTTTATTCATGATTTTATATTATATTTTTCCAATATAGCCCAAAAGAGGGCAAGATTAGGAATAGTAATATGGTTTTTCCTTATGATCTGAAGGCTTATGAATTCGAGTTTGGTGAACAGTCTCTTTATAAAAATATAAGGTAAGATTACAGACAATCGACTTTTATTCCTATCATTGCAAGTTGAGAACTTGTATATCGGGATTTATAGTGAATAAGAAAAGGCCAGATCAAGAGTGTATCATTTTATGTTTTGTTTAAATATTCATATCTTATATGAAAAATATCAACCACAAATTAACGGTAATGACTGTAGTGACAAAATTCATAAAACAAGTAAAAAGAAATGATTATTTTAATTATTTATCGTTGATCTATAAATAAATAATAGAAAATTTTCACATGATATGATGAGGTTAAAATAAGACATGAGATGCTAATTAAGTGTGAAGCACATGTAGTTGAATATCATACCTGAAGATCAAACACACCTAGCCAAGGCACATAATCTGCTAGATTGAAAGCTCCAATCAAGTTCAATACTTCAGCAATAATGTCCTTCAAGTTGAATCTATCATCCTTACTATAGCCCAATAACATTTTATACACAATATTCTCTATAAGCTCCCCTACCAACTCACTAAGGTCCACAACCTCACGTGATGCTGCTGCATTTTCAAGTACCTTCACCAATAGTCCCAATTGCTCCCTCCTCAGAGGAGCAAACATTTCAACTCTTGATGCACTCAGAAGTTGTATAATACACACTTTCCTAACATTACGCCAAAAAGCACCATATTCACAAAACGCTAAGCCCTTGCTTGCATGAGCAATAGATTCTGCTGCTTGAAGTTTAGGCCTGCTTGCAAACACAGTGTCATGAGTCTTAAGGAATAGCTCAGCAGTTTCAGTGGAAGAAACCACAATGGCTGGGACTTGTCCTAGCTTTAAGGACATTATGGGTCCATATTTTAAGGCAAGGGATTGAAGGTTGCGGTGTGGTAGTTTCCCTAACATGTGGAGGTTACCAATAATTGGCAAGGCCTTTGGACCTGGTGCATGTTTCACATAATCTTGACGTTGTTTTTTATGCAGAATGAATGTGAATATCACTAGGAGTGCAATAGGGATAGCTAATGTTTGAAGTAACATTTTTTATGGTTTGCTTGACAAGAATTAGAGAAGGGTTTGGGTATTTATTTAGAGGAACGTTATATGATATGAAAATAAAAAATTCTAGCCATGATTCACGTGGCAGCACAGATTTAATATAGTAACAAAAAAAAGGACGGTGGTTTGCAATTAAGAGTAAAATAAGATAGCACTTAAAATTTTTAATCTGGATGAGCAGTTAATTTCCAATTATTTCCGTGTGATCAATGATTGTATTAAGGAGTGTTTTTCCGACATTTATCTATTTGCAAAATCTTGTGACGTCAATTGAATCTCATCTTCTGCTTTTTTAATTATACGCAGTAACATCATGGTTAACTTCATTTCTTCAACATCAAATTTTTAATTTGAAATTAATCATGTGTTTTTACATTTAATCATGTTTCATAAGTTTTTCTTACTACTCACTAAGGATCAACTCCACGAGATTGTTCCAACTTAATCGGAAATCTTGAGTTAGAATCATAGATATACAATTATGTTAAAAACTTAATAGAGATGGCTTTGCCACCCTTATGATCCTTCCAAGCTCGATTGAATTACTTTGATTAATGTATGAACTTGTCGAGAAATTTAACAGAAAAAAGTATTTCATTAAGAGTTTTTTTGATTCACTTAATCGTGATGATTAATGATTTCTACATTTGTCAAAGAAAAACTATTTTTCAGAATATCTGCTTGTTTTAAATTCCATGATTTTCCATCGGAATAAGTTCAAATAATTGTTATTTCAGTTCCATAATTTATCGCAATTCTGATTTTCTGCTCCAGATTGTAATCCTAGAATATTGAATGCATCAATCAAGTATAGGGTACCAAATGCAGAGTCATCATAGTTAAGATGGAGATTAGGAAATAATGCACTATTCTCTGTTGCAGCCATTAAGGTAAATTACAATACCAACGAAATAAAAATGCAATTTCTAGGTCATATCATGAAACAATTATAAAGTTACACGCAGATAATTTATTTTAATGAACATAAACCCATGTTAATTTGATTCACTTTTAGCTTTACCAACTAACCCATAGGTTTGCACAGCTAGCAAGTGCTCATTTCTTGGCATTAAGAGCCCAAATCTCTCAGTTATGTACAAGTTATATGAAGACAAGCCCAATGGAAGCTCCCAACTGAAGCAATGGACCAATTGAGCTAGAACAAGCATAATAGTAGTTAGGCTCAAAAGAATCCTAGGACACCCTCTGCGACCTGAACCAAAGGGTATAAGTTGAAAGCCTTGTCCCTTGAGGCTTGCTTGGAAGTTAGTTTTAAAAGGGAAAGGAAAAGAAGGGAAGAGTTTTATTAATTCCTTCCATTATTTGAGTTTAAAAAAGTGAGAGAAATAATTTAGGAATTTTCACAAAACTCTCCAAAACCTTTTTTGTTCTTAAAATTAAAGTTCCCCCAATTTGTGAGGTTTTGTAACATCCCAAGAGCTGGCAAGGGCATGGAGTGATTGCCGGTGTGAAAGGGCACGGACAATGAGCGGCTCATGCCAAATCTTGCATGATAATGGTAGTGGCATGATAATGGTAATGATAATGGCAGTGACATGATAATGGTAATGGCAGTGGCATGATAATGGTAATGGTGGCGGCGGCGACGATAGTGGTGGTGACAGAAGTGGCTGCGATAATGGCTATGGCGATGACATGGTGGCAGTGGTGTAGTGGTGGTGGTGGCGGCAATGACGGTAGTAGTGGTGGTGGTTGTGGTAATAGTGATGATGGTGGTGGTAGTGGTGGTGGTGGTGATAGTGGTAGTAGCAATAATGGTGGTGGTGACGTGAAGATGGTGGTGGTGGTACGACGATGGTGGCGGTGGTCGTGTCGGGATAATGGTGGTGGTGGTAATGATGGTAGTGGTGGAGTGTGATTGAGAGAGACATGTGTTTCTCATTTTGTGCCCGGGAACAAAAAAGCAAAAAAATTTTTATTCTTTTTTCTGTTCCCCAGCACAACAATTAAATCGGTTCATCTCGGGAACAAATAAATAAACTGATTTTAACAAATGAGTTTTTTATCCATTTCTGTTCATGAGAACAAAAATTAAAAAAGAACTAATTCCAGGAAGGTTGTCACGCACACCCTTATTGATCCGGTCGAGGTACCGGGTTACTAGTTCAACCACATGACTAGTGAGTATATTCAAATCTATAACTTATATTAAAAAATTATAAATATATTTAAAGACCAGTAAAAAAATAATACCTGTTTCAAATATTTTAACTTTATTAATAATAAATATCACATTTAGTATTAAAAAAATATCGCGCTTCAAAATTCAAATAAAATTTGACAACTATCACTTAACAAAGTACTTATTCAAGACAAGATAATAAATGCAATCCTGTATATTCCACTTTCCAAGATAAAATAATAAATGGAAACCCATCATATTCCCATTTCACACGCTTTGTTCTTTTCACGCTATGTCTGTTTATCTACTGCTCTTCTTCTTCACCATTGTTAAACTCCTTCTTCTTTATATTGTTGCCACTGTAGCCATGACCTCAACAAGTTCAAGCATCACCATCGTCCATTCTGATATCATCTAGCTTACATCCTCACTCGCCCTATCGCTGCAACGCTCACCTCCACACGGACCAAGATAAAGTGGAATTGCATACCTAACCTTTGGTGTCCACATGAAAAAGTCTTAGAATTGTCATAGGAACACAACTCACAAACCATTTCTCCTTGGGAACCATTGTGTTAAGATTTCTCCTTGAGAAAGTGTAGGTGATTTCTTGAGTTCTTGGTATTTTGGGGAGTTTGGGACCATTTCAAGCTCAAGGAACACTCCTCTCCTGATTCTAAGAGCATTGGTGGTAAGTTAAACCAAGTTATTTCAAGTTTCATGGAAGTTTTAAATTCTAGGTTGAACATGACTAGTGTTTTTCGAAATTTCTATGGTTGGATGACTTAGAGGGTGATTTAGGTGTGGTTTCCTACGGGTGTTCATTAACCGATCCAAACCAATTCAAACCGTGGTGACTGAATTTAAAAACCGATAACCGAATAAATCGAAAATCGAAAAATCAAAAATAGAAAAAAAAATCGCAAATTTTAATTGGATTGAATCGGTTTTTCAATTGGTTGATGAAAACCGATCCGATCCAAACCGATCTAATATATTAATTCCCCTCTACCTACTTGGACATTTCCCCAATCATAGCCAAAAAATTTCTAAACCCAAGACCCATTAATCCATCAACTAAACCCATGAAAAAACCTAGTCACATCTTATTAATAAAATTTCATATGTGTAGAGCTTCATATCTCATTACCCCAAAAAAACTATATTATTGTTTACTGATGCTTTTGTATTTCAATTTTTTTTATAAAGCCAATATATACAAAATATGTTATTTGCACAATAATCATGAAACAAATTTTAGGATTTTCAAAAAATCGAAAAACGATCCAATCCAAATCGAAAAAATTGGATTGGATCGGATTTGAAAAAAATCCAAACCGAAGGATGATTACATGATCAAACCGAAAGGATTGGATCAGAGGATTTTTGCTTCCAAAACCGATCCAATTTAGACCACGAACACCCCTATGGTAACACCCCTATGGTTTCCTTTGTCAAACATGTTTATAATTGTTTCTTGTCAAAGGAAAACCAAAGAGATTATAATTTAGAGTATTTTGATAATTAGCATGAAAATGTGTATGGTGTCATTGTGTTCATGGCTAGAAAATAGTATATGGATGATTAATTTCATGTCATTTTGTTCATGTAGTTGTGTGTCAAGTGATGTCTTCATTAGCTATTAAAGAAAAGCTAGAAAACCAAGATGAACACCATGTATAGGCTTCGGCCTTATGAGAAGAAAAACAAGTGGGAAGGGTGTTTAAATTAATATTGATGTTTAATGATGATCATGGAGCATGGAAAATGTGATTGAGCTAATTGGTTTGTGATTATGAACTTGAAAACATAAGGAAAACCCTATATGTATGCTTCGGCCAAGGCATGAAAGAATATATTGGAATTTTGTTTAATCATGTTTGGTAATAGTTGTTTGTCCTTAGGCATTGTATGTTAAATGGACCAAGTAATGGCTTATAAAGGAAGCTAGAGATCATGACGACCTTCAGATACCTATTCGGCCAAGACATAAAAATTAAACCTAGGAGGTTTGTTAGTTCAAGTTAATGGTGGAAAGCAAGTGCTAGGCTTATATCTAGGGATGTGCATCGAGCGGTTCGGTTTGGTTATTGTAAAAAACCAAGCCAAACCAGTTTTAAACGGTTTGAATTTAAAACCGAACCACTTTTTTTTTTAAAAAACCGGTTTTTAATTTGTCCAAACCGGTTTGTGGTTTATAACCGGTTTTGAATTAAAACCGGTTTAAACCGATTTTAATTCAAAACCGTTTTTAAATCAAAACCGGTTATGAATCATAAACCGGTTATCAAATTCAAAATCGATTTTTTAACAAATTCAAAATCGATTTCCGATGGATTGTGCTATTTTTATAAGTAGTGATTTGTTTCTCCTGGTTATAAGTAGTTGACCAACTATTTCTTGCAAGAATCTTCATTGTTTTGAAACACTCAGGACGAAATGATTCTTATAGAAATTGTTCACGTTGTTTTTACGGAAAATATTTCCATCAAAATTTTCCGCAAAATTTTTTGACGAAAAATAATTCCATCAAAATTTGTGACTAAAAACATATCTTTAAAAAAATTTGACGAAATTTTTTTTTTGTCGAATTTTTTTATGGAATATAAATTTTGTCAAAACATTTCCCTCAAAAATATTTCAACAAAAACATTTTCATCGAAATTTTTTACGAAAAAATATTTCTATCAAAATTTTCCACGAAACACACTTCCTTCGAAAACTTTTGACGGAAAAACATTTCATCAAAATTCTTTATAG